GAAGAGCAGTCAGAGTTTGAGGAGGTTTTATGTATTTGAAAATTCATAATGTACTGGGTATCTTCTTATGCTTGTGTTTTCAGAGGGAGAGCAACATATAGGTAGGAGCAGAGGCATGAAAAATAGTCAGGTATGGTGGAACTTCTTTGACTTTCTGATTTTCCATCTTTCAGAGATAAACTTTGAGAGTATCTCCTTCTTAGACTTCTTCCCAGAGATCAGTAAGATAATGTACATAAAAATCTCAACATTGTATGTGGCAAATTGATCTCAGTACATGTTAGCTGTAAGTAGGTTGAACACGAACACAGATACTGGAAGGATTTTAGAACTTCCTAGGCTATGGTGAATTAGACAAGGCAACGACTCCCAGCTGAATGCAAGCAATGCTGATTCTGTCTTTATAAGTGGCCCATGCTTGGGCAAGTTGCAGTGACTCTTTAAAAAACTCCTTTGTTGCTACCCAAACCTTTGACCTGTGTTGCTAAGGATGTGCGTGGTCTCTCAGATAGTTGCCATAGAAACTGTCTGAGTTTATTCTTTGCTCCTGAGAGAAACCCTGAGAAATAGAAACATTTTCAAGCCGATGTTTGGATTAACTATTTCAGGTAATGAATTTGTCACTGAATTATCCGGAAATGTACTCCAAGCCCTTTTCATATAGTGTTGTGAAGACATCTACCAAGTGTGTGATTTTAGCCCCTTCTGTTGTAAACTATGGTTTCTTCTAAGTTCCTTAGAGCAAAGAGGAAGTAACAGGCAAAATTTGTTTGAGAGGATAAAGTCCCCTTCCGGCATAATCCTAGCATTTACATAGTTTGCATTGAATCATTCAGGTAAGCATTGTCTTGCTATTTAATTTGACCCTGAGCACGGAGCTGTGAGAACTGCTTCTTAAACGTCTCATAGGGGCCAAAATCTGGTGATGATGGAGAGACACAGGGTGACATTTGCAGTTCTTCCCAAGCAAATTTGGGTGAGAGAATAAATGATCTGTTTGAAATATTAGGGCTGGAGATACGCCACTGAAGTCAAGTGCGCACCTCAAGTACATGAAGCCAAGTTTCAATGTCTGGCACCACAAAAACAAACAAATTTCCTTGCCTAAATAAATAGAGGGTAGTAGGAAAGAAATATTAAGGCATCGAGTCCACAGTTCTCAGAAATCAGTGAGTATCATGATCCCTGTCTATGAGAATAGGGGTCCTTCAGGGGCAGAGGCACTAGGATATGCAAACTCCTCAGTTTAACGCTTGGGTTCTCGCTCAGAACAACAGTGTCATATCCTTGAGGAGTTCAGAGTAGAAAGAAATTTCTATTTCTCACTGGAAATAAAAGGAATTTCTTGTGAGGGATAAATTAAAAGAATAAGTGTATCACAACTTTTTATTGGGGGGGGTCAAACCCAGCGATGCTCAGGGGTTACTCCTGGCTCTGCACTCAGGAATTACTCCTGGCGGTGCTTGGGGGACCATATGGGATGCCAGGGATTGAACTGGGGTCGACTGCATGCAAGGCAAATGCCCTACATGCTGTACTATCGCTCCACTCCCAACTTTCCATTTTTTAGATTCTTTTGAAACAGCCCAAATGGTGGCTGTGTGGATTTCTGACTAAAATAGAGCATTTGTTTTATTTTTGCATTTTATTTTACTTTTCTGCTTTTCAACTTATATGACTTTGGAAGTGTAAAAGGACTTTACAAAATTAGTTCACGTAGAGAAAATTAGATAAAACCATTTCTTAACCTATTTACTAAGTACAAACCTGTTGATGCATTTAAAGGTAAAGCAAATCAAAACGTATTTCCTCAAAAACAGGAGAATTTTTCATGAAGAGAAACCCATATTTTGATATTCCAGGTCTTAGCAGTGTTTGTAGCACTTAATATAAGCTTTTGCATAACAGCAGATGCTTTCGGGACAAATGAACTGATGGTAAACATTAGGAAAAGCAATAGTGAGTTTGGGTAACTTCAATCCAATTTTAATAAGCAAGAATTGATTTGTCTTTGACTCTAGGCTCGGCCTTGGGCCAACTCGGGAGAACAGGCTTGGGGTACAAAGTCCAACCTTGTGGGTAACATTACTGGGTGTGGGATGGGAGTGGGCGATAAGGATGGAGGAGGACGTTGAGATGACCGTTGGAAAGTTCTCGAATGCTGAGAAGTTTGAAAAGTTCCCAAATGTGTCATTATTGTCTCTATCTTACCTATCCTTGAGCAAATATTGGTTGATAGTCCAGCACATTCATTTTACCACTTAAATAAAAAGCCCACAGTCGTGAACCAGGGAAAGACCTCAGTGGGTTGGATGCACACTTGGTGTGGGGGGGGGGGGGGTCCGAGTTTGATCCTGACACCTCCTACAGCCCTTGAGCACTTCCAGGAGTGATCTCTGAGAAGTGAACTCTTGAGCACCGCCAGATATAGGCCCCCAAAACAAAAACAAGAGTCGCAAAACAAAACCCAACATAATTGCATCCCAATTTATTCATTTATATCTATTTCACATTGTTTTTATGTTTCCAAATCATATAAACACCCTAAAGCAGTAGAAAAATGTCTCATTCACATTAAAATTTATGAGCCGATTCTCAAATGATGTTTACATGCATTGACCCAATTTAATTCTGTTGCAAAAGCTAATTTTTAATCATTCACAGGATTTATGAAGCCAATTGTCCCCATGGATTTCAGCTCCAGCTCTTCGTTTTTAAAAAATATCCACGGTGTCTTGAAACAAACATTTAAATTAAGGCAGTAATTTACCCATCTACATCTCTACCTTTATCTCTACTGAGAACTGCAGCCATCACAATTTCTAGGGAATAGGAAGGCATTGGGATAAAAAGTTGAAAAAGGTTTTGAACTTTGACAAATTTGTCTGGACATATAACTTTGGCAATGTCATTTCCCAGCTCTGCATCTTTCGGCAGATTTCTTGACTGAACCTTCATTTTGCCATAGATGAAATAAGAATCACAATCCCTACATTATCACATGATTCAGGAGAAATTCAAGAGCACACACTGATTGTTATGCCATTGTTACATGTTTTCTATTTAGGAAACTGAGGCCCAGAGAGATGGGTAGTATAGCACTGGCTGTGGTGGAGATGTTTCCACCGAGACCTGGGTTTCCAGCTCAGGTCCTGATTCAGAGTCCACTTCCCGTATCACGTTGTTTTTCTTTTCTTTGGGTTCCACCATAAATCTACCACAGAAGTAATTAAAGTGCTCATGTCTAGTTTTGTCTTCTGCAGCTTTTGTGAGACTAAAATGCAAAGTATTCTTATATTTTTAAAATTCAAATACGTCTTGCGTAAGGCATTTCAGATTTTCAAGGTCTAATTTTTTTTAAGGGTTTAGAATTTGAATAACCACTTTCATGTTGATTCTATTAGTAATGCATGTTCAATGCAGAGAAAGTTTTAAAAGAAAAGGATGCCAAAGTCATCCAAGCTCATTCATCGTCTCTAGAGATAATAAAATGATTGGAATCTTTGTGCAGAGAATTGGTTCCCTTTTTTTTTTTTGGTTGTTGTTTTATTTGTTTGGTTTTAGTAGTGCAAAATTATGATAGACAATAACTTTGCTATACTACTTGTAGAAATGGATCTAACATCACGGGCACATCTTTCTAACTGATCTTAGGTGTGGGGATGTTGGTCACAGCAACTGGACTCAGGTCATATTCTTGGCTCTGTGCTCAGTGAACACTCCTGGAGGTGCTCTGGGGATTGTATGCAGTGACAAGGCTTGGACTGGAGTTGGCTGCTTGCAAGGCAAGCACTGCATCCTCTTAGTATCTCTCCAACCCTTCCTAACTGATTTTAAGACTATTGTAATTTTGTGAAATGGGAAGCCAGGAGAGGAAAGGAAGAATCAAATTGAACAAAAGAGAATAAGCACAGTTTAGATTCTTATTCAATTGCCTTTGGAGTAAGAATGTGCATATATTTTTCCAACTGTACTTGCATATGTAATTTAGGAGAACCTGAGGTGGCCTGTGAGGTCTTTAAATAAAGTCTTGTAAAAACTTTATTAGATTTTTTTTTTCTGCTGGAGGAATATCATACAAATGAAGAGCTGATTTTAAAAACCACAAAAAGTCCAAGATCTAGCTATTTTGGCATTTGTTAAAAGATGTTTTCCTCATTCATAGGATGAGGAAAAAATTTACTCCTTTTTTAAAAAATTTTTATTAGTGAAACACAGTGAGGTACAGACTTACAAATTTTTGTGCTCTACATGATCAGAGCGGTGTTCGATTCCTCCGCCCCTCTCGGAGAGCCCGGCAAGCTACCGAGAGTATTCGATATGCCAGACACAGTAACAACAAAGTCTCCAATGGAGACGTTACTGGGCCCGCTCGAGCAAATCGACGATCAACGGGAGGGCCTTTACTTTACTTTTACTTTACATGATCAGAGAAACTTCTCTAGTAACATCCTATAGAAATGATCCCTGAAAGTATGGTCTTGGCAAAAGTTACTCTTACTGCTTATTGTTTTAACCCTTCAGTGAAGAAGATTATAGTAAAAGGAAGGAGTTAAAAAAACAGAACTATTGTGAGTGTCAGGGACACTAATGTGTGTACTGCTGTGGATGAAGCCTCGTGGAACTTCTGTAAGATTGAGCTGCTCTATCCAGAAGAGAAGCTGGCCTTCAAGGAACCCATTCTACTAGATTTATAACTGAATAGCTTCCAGTGACTCTTTAATTTTTTTTGGCTTTATTTTAGGCTATACCTGGTGATGCACAGGGGTTACTCCTGGCTCTGCACTCAGGAATTACTCCTGCCGGTGCTCAGGGGGCCTTATGGAATGCTGGGAATCGAGCCCAGGTCGGCGCATGCAAGGCAAATGCCATACCCGCTGTACTATTGCTCCAGCCCTTCTAGTGATTCTTTCTGGCAGGAAATGCCTACTTTTAACAATTTGGTGACTAATCACTTTATCTCTGCTTCCTTTTCAGGTGTTTGAAGAAAGATCAACACCATGTTTCCAGCCCCCCTGCACTGCCTGTGCCTCCTTACACTGTTTTTGGTAAGGGATGAAGACGCCTGTCATTTATTCTGGAATATTCTCAGCCTGTTTCACTCCGATTCAGGAAGAGAGTGGTTATTTATTATCACTTGCAGAAAGATATATCAAAATGAAACCACTGTGTGTAAAAGACACATGGTTTGCCCAGATGAATATTTTAGGTGAAATGATCACAAATCATAAGTTTATTCTTTAACTCACACGGCAGAGTATGGCAAACTCCCTGTGGCGTACCCAATATGCCAAATGGTGGGTCTCATTCTCCAAACCCTGAAAGAGCCTTGAATATGGCACTTTTTAAAATCTCAGGGCTAGGACGAAGGAGACGTTACTAGTTCCTGCTCCAGGCAATTAACAAACAACAGGATGATCATGATGGTGATTCTTGAACTAAGAGGAGGTCCTCTCCCCTTATCTCTTAAAAGTGAGGTTTAATCCTATCTGTGGGGCCCAGAAAGATAGTCCAGTTGGTAGGGCACTTGCCTTGCATATGACTGGCTTCGGTTCTCTCTGTGACACTCTATGCGATCCCTCTAGTACTTCCAGGAGTGGCCCCTGAGCATTGAGGCAGGAGTGATCACTGGGCACTGCTGGGTGTGGTCTCACAAAAATGGGGGAAAAAACCCCAAATATAGCTATTCAGGTTTGGCTCTTCCTATTGAACGGAAATTATATTAAATATGGAAAGGAAAATGTATTGATACATGTATGAGTCTCTGTCTCTTAAGTTTGACCCCCCAACCATAAAAAATGATCACCAAAATATCTAAAGAAAAGCGTTTTTCTCTACTTTCTAGGATTTACAGTTCTAGAGTAAAAGGTCTCTGGGCAGTTGTTGAATTAACCCTGTTGAGGGTCAGGCTTCTCAGAAAGCTAGTGTGTAGATCACCTTACCTACTCAAGGAGGACCGAAGGGCAGATGCTGTGCTTATAAGTTGCCAAGCAACTTGTTGTGTTATGCAACAAAGTTATCAGGAACTTATGCCTGAAATCTTAGTTCCTTCTCTCTGGGATTACCCTATAATATGTCCAAGTTAAAGTCTTAGAAGCCCCCTAGAGCCAACAGAATTTAAAACATTTACAGAATGAACCTACATTGTCAGAGGTCAGTGGTAAAGCCAGCCCTGGGTTCAAACTTGGGCAAATCCACTTACAAGTGGTGAGAACCTGGTTGAGTTACTCAAGGTTTGATCCTCAGTGTCCTGCCATATGGAACGGGTCTCCCCAGCCTTGTGGGTATTGGAAGAATGAAATGGAATAATGCATCTGCAAAGCTCTTGAATCAGTGTCTGACACAGTCTCACCACCCGATCGATATTAGCTCTTTTATCACTATAGCATTTCAAATGTGTAGTGAATATATCACATGAACCCTGAACTCCATAACAAAGAAACTGTATTTTAGTCACAATACTTTGCAACTTCAGCAGAGAGAGCACAGTGCCAGGTACAGAGTAGAAATTAAACACATGGTTATGGATTTATGAAAGGAATGGACCCTGAAGGAACAGATTCTAGTGCATCAAATATATATATATATTCAGGCCTGAGCGATAGCATAACAGGTAGGGCATTTGCCTTGCATGCGGCCAACTCACCCATCTCAGGTTCAAATCCTCCATCCCTCTCAGAGACTCCAGCAAGCTACTGAGAGTATCTTGCCCGCACGGCAAAGCCTGACAAGCTACTCGTGACATATTCGATATGCCAAACACAGTCACAAGTGTAACAATGGAGATGTTACTGGGCCTGCTTGAGCAAAATTGATAAACAACAGGAGGACAGTGACAGTGACAGTGATATATATTCAGACTAGATACCCTAATAAAAGCTGATGTATATATGTGTGTATATAATACATATATTCATATATGGATATATATTTATATATATGTATATTTATATTTCTGAAAAGGGTGAAAAAATAATTATTTCTCTTTACTCTCACCTTCTGGAATATGTACAAGAAGCTTCCTGAATCACCGGAGAGCCAGAGAATGTTTTTGAGGAAGGGGAAGTGCAGTGAGACAGGGCCCTTCTCTTCTCTGTCTCCACTTTTTAATCCCCAGTTTTCTCCAGTGAAGACTTGACATTTAGTAGGAACTACCTGCCTTCCACATAAGGCTTTGTTTAACAGAGAGAACAATTTAAAATGCTTGCCTGCCATTTATTCCTTACTGTGAGCGGCTTCCTGCTGGCTTCTGAGAACTGGCTTTCAGGGATGCTGAGGAATACGTCTGTGGGTATTTACCAGAAGGACCCTAAAGTGAGAACTACAATGCAATCCAGGGCTCGGGGAAAAGGGACTGAGGGCTGAGGCAGGAACAATCTCCTTATTTTAGAGTCTTTTTCTTTTAAATTCTGGGACTGTGATTTTTCTAGAAGGAAGGAGAATTTGGCTTAAATATTATATAATCAGTGAGAAAAACTTTCAGGAATGTTCGATGAGGTCAATTTTCAGGCAGGTGGATTCAGCGTTTGTGTCCTGTCTGCTGATCTGAGGGAAAGTGTCACAAGGTGATTCCAGTGGTGGGCTTGGGAGTCCCGTAGGGCTCACTCTCTGCTACGGCAGTACCAGTGGCTCAGGCACTGCTAGGGGACTTCTCAGAGATACTTTCCTGACATTGCTGAGGATCAGAAGAAATAATAGGCGGGTTGTCCTGTAACTGGCACACAAGAAACACTAAAGAATGCCAGTTACACCATCCTCTCTTCATTTCAACTCTTCCCCAAGATGGGGGGCTCTGTTCCATGTGACTCCTATCTGAAGGAGTTCTTGTTCCCTCTTATACTGTCCTTTCCAGTTCTGACCAACTGGGCCGTGACTCAGAAAGCCTTCATGACTCAGAGCATGCACAGGCATTTTGAAATCTTTATTGCCCAAATAATCAAGTTAATGGGAAGGGAGAGAGATTCGTTGGCCTTGATAGAACTTTGAACCTTGCAACAGAGAAGAATCCTCCTTCCTGATAGGTGAGCCAGCTATTTCCAGAGAGGGAAAGTACATGATGGTTCATGAAATTTGCATGACTCATATAGTTTTTCCATGCCTGCCTTCACTGCGTGATCAACTGGAGGGCTGATTGCTTGCTGAGGTGAGCAGAAAACTGATGTCAGCAGCTGACAACTAAGTCCTGGAAGAAGCAGTATCCTGGTCTTGAACCAACCACAGCAACACGTGGACACCACACCCTACTCTGTCCTTTCCCGGGGACCTATAGAACTGGGAAAGATTTAGAAGTGGAGGGGATGAAGAGTTCCTTAGGAAAACTAACTTAGAAAGAGATGGCTAGAAGTCGCTATATAAAATAGTTTCAGTTAACAACAATTTTCCTTACAAGTAATAAGGAGTCTGACTTTTTTTCTTTTTTTTGGTTCATATTTTTTTATTTTTTATTTTTTAATTTAATTTGAATCACCGTGAGATAGTTACAAAACTTTCATGTTTGACTTTGGTCATACAACGATCAAACACCCAACCCTTCTCAGTGCACGTTTTCCACCACCAAAGTCCCTAGTATCCCTCCCGCCATCCTAACCCTTCCACTGCCTGTGTGGTAGACAACATCCACAATATTCTCTCTCTACTTTGATTACATTCAATATTTAGACACCAGTCCCAGTATTTTATTATTTGGAAGTTTCCCGCCACCACTCAAACCTATCAAAAAAGGCAAAGCTAGACAATTTAGTTTTGTATTGCTTGTTATGAATAGCATAAGATGTTGCTCCTGGAATTCTAAAATTTTAATAATTAGGGTCTGGAGAGATCTCTGCAGTGAGATGCTCAGTTCTGAGATTCTTTTGTGTGTCTCTGGATCAGGGCCATTAAGGGGCTTAAGTAGTAGCTGGAAGCAGTCGATAGGCATCAACTCAGAGTCCCTTTGGGGAGGGGGGAAGAGAGAGACAGGAGGAGTCTGACTTTATACATCTTCAATAAATAGGGATTTATTTTTTTCAGGTGATAGGAAGCCAAAGTATGTGGTCTAGACAACTGAGCAATTCTGTGGTATTTTCACAGACTTGATTTTCTCTCTTTGATTTACCATACTTTTATTTTTATTTATTTTTAATTACATTTCATTTTATAAAGTTGTTCACAAGAATTTATTACATCCAACATTCCAACACCAATCTCACCACCATTACACCTTCCCTCCACCATTATTTTGAATTTCCCCATCACCACCCAAGCCTGCCCCCCAAAAGTAAGAACTTGAAAAAAGTTGCCCCCTCACCTGGCATGGGGTGAGGACGCATCTCTGCAATGTGCCTCTCTGTTCCGAGATTTATTTATGAGACTGATTCATCATTTTTTTTTTTTTTTGCTGATTTGGCGCCTGTGCTTTCGTGATGGCACAGACGCAGACGTGCAGTCGCTGTGCAACTAGAACAGGTGCGAGAGAAGAACAAGACTGCCACGTCTTTCCTTCATGTGGGGAAGGGGATTGGGCCGTACTGGGTCATGTTCAGGGTTATTCTGGCTCTATGCTCAGGGATCCCTCCCAGAGGCATTCAGGGGATCATTTGTAACAGCGCAAAGATTGAACTGAGGTTGGCAGCATGCAAGCTAAAAGCCTTAATCCCTACACTATCTCTCTGGCCTCCCCTATCTGTAATTTTTCATCAAGAAAACAAAACTTTAGCCCAACCAGTCTTCTGCTTTTCTCCAGAAAGCTTCCTTTGCTGTTTCATGAACGCAAACTAGGTTACTTCATTACTTTCCTAGTTGCAAAGGAGGCTGGGGAAGAACCCGCTGGCCTTCGTAAAGGCAGAGAGGCTGCAGCTAATTTAAGGGTCTGTCGTAACTTTGAGAGAGACAGAACCAAATCCCACAATTCTCTTCACTCTCATATACTGCTACTATTTCCCACAATCAGTTTTAGTTTAGTCAAAATTTAATAAACCATGGCATGGAGTGTAGGATCTATTCCTTCATAACTTTCATAACCCCATACTTATTTTTCGGGATTATTCCCATTGTGCCCATGGCAAGACTGTTCTTGCCGTCCTTAGGAAACAAATTCACTTTTCCCAAGTTCTTACTTTTTGGGGTTTTGCCTATTTATCTTCAAAAAGCTATGAATGTCCTGAATCACATCTCTAATTCAATCCATCCTAACCCTGATTCCCATCACAAGAAGAAGACCTAAAGAGCCACCCTGAGAGAGGGGGCAGGAACAGGATACTGGATCCCTGGGCCAGAGAGAGTCCCTCTAGGACTGGCTTTAAGCTTAACCCTCCTCCCTTCATGCCAAACCTCTGCTTCATGTTTCTGTGTAGAGGTCAGTCCTGATAGGAGATGAAGGAACGTCAGGGCTGCCTTTAGGCTCCCAGTGTCCCCACTTGGATTGAAGTGGGACTTGTAGTCCCTTTGTATTGTCTTTCCTGTCAGGTATAACTTTGGCCAGTTTTTGCTTTGGCCAGTTTTTGCTCCACTTGGTGGAAGGTGACTCAGAAAGATGGTTTCAGGAATTTCCATGTAAACACTGCTTCCTTCCATTAGCTGAGCAAATCACTGAATCTCTCCGTCTTTCAATCTCATCTCCTGTAAGATGGATCTAACTGTAGCAATATTTACCCCTACAGGCTTATTGTCAGCGTGACTATGCTTAGGACAGGGCTTGGCATATGTGAGTTTAGTAAGTGGAAGCTCTTCTTATCGCTCCGGCTCTGCCCAGAGCTTCCAGCCCGGACTGGATAACTGTAGAGGTACTTACCTGCCTTTGGATTTGAAAACTGACACGGGGTTTCTGCTTAAAGTAAACATTTCTCCCTTTCATTTTTTCCCAAATTGCTTATTGAATGTTAGTCAGCTTTTATTTATTTGTTTATTTATTTATTTGGGCAGGAGGGATAGCATAGCGTAGGGCTTTTGCCTTGCACATGGCCAACCTGGGTTCAATTCCTCCACCCCTCTCGGAGAGCCCAGCAAGCTACCGAGAGTATCCCGACCACACAGCAGAGCCTGTCAAGCTGCCCGTGACATATTCGATATGCCAAAAACCATAACAACAAATCTCACAATGGAGATGATACTGGTGCCCACTCGAGCAAATCAATGAACAATGGGAGGACACTGCTACCGCGCTTATCTATTTGCCTGGCTCTGTGCTTGGGAGTTAGCCTGGCAGTGCTGAGGGGACCAGGTGTCTAACTCAGGCCTCCTGTGTTCGTTTTGCATACACTCAACCATATTACCATTTATCTGGCCCAACCTTTATTTCTGGGACCAGAGAGATAACACAGCAGGATTACACATGGTTGACCTGGGTCCAATTCCTGGCACCGCATATGGTCCCCTAAACCCAACCAGGAGTGATCCTGAGCACCAAACCACAGATAGGTGCTGCCAGCTGAAAATAAATAAATGAGTTAAATTTAGAATAAATAAAACTGTGATCTTTTTTCTAAAAAATTATGTTTAAATTGATATGAAAATTTGGTGGAATTTGCACGTATGTGATTAGTTAGCACTGTACCAAAACACATTCACAGGCTTTTTTTTGGCTGTTGTTCTTCATAAATTCACTTGTTCTTCAGGTTGACTGTGAACTTCCTGCCATAAATGTACTATATTATAATCTTACAGGAATGGGGAGAGGTGTAAAGCTGGTATAAAATAATGTAGGATTTAGAGGGCAGAGTAGCAGCGTGGGGAAATCCTGAGCTTTCCTTCAGCTCAAACCAAGTGCCCGCTATGTCAACCACTTATGGTCCATATTCCAGCAAGATGTTTGATTTGCTGAGTCTCATTTGTACCATACATGGCCCAGGTTGGCCATGTGCAAGCCACTAGCATCCGTGCAAAGGATTGCTCGGATGGTCCCATGAGAAAGGTAATGCAATACTCTCAGTGAGCCATCCTGACGTGATGAGAATCCTTTCTAAAAGTAGAGCCCTTTGTGCTTGTTTTGACTAGATTTCAAATGGTCTTACGTCAAGTTAAAATCTTGTGTTTTGGGGCCAGGAGGACTGTCTATGGTAGGAAGTTTTCCACAAGTGTTTGTAGGGCAAAGGACAGTTAGGATAGAGAAGCAATCAGTATGAAAATAATTGTTAGAAATGATCACTCTAGGGCCTGGAGCAATAGCACAGTGGGTAGGGCAGACAACCCGGGATCGATTCCCAGCATCCCATATGGTTACCCGAGCACTGCCAGCAGTAATTCCTGGGTGCAGAGCCAGGAGTAACCCCTGTGCATTGCTGAGTGTGACCCGATCACAATCACGATCACAACCATCCTGTTATTCGTCGATTGCCTCGAGCAGGCCCCAGTAACCTCTCCTTTTCCTAGCCCTGAGATTTTTAAAAAAGTGCCATATTCAAGGTTCTTTCAGGCTTAGGAAAATGAGACCCATCATTGTTACTGGTATTTGGCATGTTGGATATGCCACGGGGAGTTTGCCAGACTCTGCCATGTGGGCAAGTTACATTCGGTAGCCTGCCAGGTTGTCCAAAGTAGGAATGAGATAATAAGATGTCATGTGGCCATGAATGCGGCCGCGCTTCCAGGAGCTGCAATAGAGTGGAAATAGAGATGGACCGGTCTTCGGTCGAGTTTATATGAGTAGCTGCGCTCCCCTGCTAGAACCTCCAAAAAAGCTGAGTGTGACCCAAAAAGAAAAAAAATCACTAAATCACTCTGGACAAGAACTGAGTGCTGAGAGTAGGAAAAGGGATATAAAGATAAACATGATAATCAGTATCTGTATTGCAAACAATAATGCCCAAAAGGAAAGAGAGAGGGAGGGAGGGAGAGAGAGAGAGAGAGAAAGAGAGAGAGATGCCTGCTACAGAGACAGGGTTGGGAGGCAGCAGGAGAGAAACTGATGGTGGGAAATGAGCACTGGTGAAGGGATGGGTGTTGGAAAATTATATGATTGAAACCCAATCACAACTGGGTTTGTAACTGTGTATCTCATTGTGGTTCAATTAAAATATATATATAAAAAAATCTTATTTTTCTATATCAGTCCTAGAAGTCTTAACATCTCCACATGATGCATATACATTAAAAATGGATAGCTAATTTTCACTCTTTTTTTCTTTTCTTTTTAACAGACAATTGCATATGCAAGGTTCAGTGGTCCCCTGGAGCCTATGACCTTTACTGTCTATGAAGGCCAAGAATCGAGTCAAGTCATTTTTCAGGTAATGGTGGCATCTTGGCTTCACAGGTTCTCGGAGTGGATGCTCGTTCCTTGATCTGTTGTACAGGAGCATGTGAAACAGAGGCAGGGCAGATCTCAATCCAGAAGGATTGCAGGAGCTATGGAGAGAAGGGTGTCCTGGGCATTGTAAAGTGTTGCTTACACGACAACTTCACTGGGACTCGCTCAGTTGCGTGGACACCCCCACTCGACACAGAGTGTGGTGTATGTGGGGGTCTCCCACAACCTACAGCAGGAGTGGAACCAGTCTCTGGTCTCTTTCATGATGATATCTGACCATAGACGCATCTAGTTTGTGAGTTTGTCACTTAAGCGATGGGGTGTTGCTGGGTACCTCTCTGGGCAGGGCATCCTCACCGCTTCTTGTCAGCCCAGCTCCTGGTCCTCACCTCTGGGTCTCCAACGCATGCTGGGGAAGACAAAATTGTATAGTTTTGTTACATATCTGTGCAAAGTCTGGAGGGGAGGCCTTAGGAAGGAGTAAGATATTTCTGTGCTAAAGGGCTCTGAAGTCATCCTAGAAATGTAATGGAGCCGGTCAAGGGCCTTGGGTCCATCAGAGGTGTAGGGGTGAGGTACAGCTATAGATCCAAACTGCAGCGTCAACAGGAGTGAAAGTAGGAGATCTAAACCCCAGCAACCAAACTGGACACGGGTGAAGAGAAGTGGACACTGTGGTGGGATTAGTTCCAGATCACTGTGTGCCTAAAAATCAGCTACGGATAGCTGTAAAAACCTACAAGGGTGGCCAGGGGGTAGCCCCGATGGCTCTTCCCCTGGCTGCCCAGGTTCTGGGGGGCCCGGGCCACCCCCCCAGTCAGGGCAGCCCGGGCCCTGGGGCAGATGGTGGAGGAAACGAGGGCCAAGCTGGTTGATTGATCAGATGCTGTTCTCATCCCCGTTCACTCCTGTCTCTCTCTCTCTTCTTCTCTCCCGGCTCCTGATCGGGAACCCCTCTCTCTTTCTGGCTCTGACTCTGGATCTCCATCTTCTCCTTCTCCTCCAGCCCACTCTTACAGACTAGTTAAATCCCCAAACCATGAGGGGCTGGGCTTACACATAGGTGTGGTTTCACAATCAATATGGTTGAAGTTCTTCCCCTCAGGGGATGCTGCTTCTAGGACAGATTCTCTTTCAGCAGGACCACCCACCCAAGGGTGGAATCTCATGGGTGTGTTTCTCCTCTCCTTGTCCAACAAACATACAAGCATTCATAATATTAATCATTTTGTATGGACACAGTAAGAGACGCAGTAAGCTTATAGAATTGCTCTCCTGGGGTCATCCCGATCTCAGACTACAGTGCTCAGGCCAGATTAGTCTTTCCTATTCCTAGCAGGGTCCTACCTAGTCTAATCGTTACTTTTGGATCATGAAAGCATTTGTCATGATCAAACTCTTAACTTATAGTTAAGAATTATGGCACTTTGGCCAGGTCCATCTTGATGCCAGGGTAGCACATAGCTTACCGCTTGCCCTGGTTCCATCCAGTCCCTTGTTGGGACCCTGCTTTGGGGGGCGCTAGGAAGTGAGGGCAACTGAGGCTTAAGTTGAGAAAGCAGATGTCTGGGAATGAATAATATTCGAAGCCAATTAAATCCCAAGTTACGAAAGCATAATATTAATCATCTTCTTGTGTCTTTACAAAAGGACATTGCCTTAAAGTAAACTATTCAAACGACATAAGGAGAGGAGAAAGGCAACATTAACTTATAATACAAGTTCAGTGTCCTAGAAAGATCTGACCTTACAAATTAACAGAAACTGATTAGGGAAATAAGCTGATTAACTGTTTGGGGAAGAGAGCATAGGGAAGTAGTTACAAATAAACAAAAGAATGGGAGTGACTTGGGAGCACTTTGATGGGTGTGACCCGATAAACCTAAGCTACCTGAGGAAGGACAAAACAGTGTTATCCGACAGATAGCCTTTTCAACCATGGTGTCTTATTAAAAATGAAAAACGAAACTTCCGTATTTATTTTTAAAAAGCAGAAAAGAAATGTAATGGAGAGGGAGGGAACCAAACTATTTCACTTACCAGCAATCCCCAGGAAGCTACTTAGGTCTCTGAGTGGTGAATTCTGGGGTGCCCATCATTCCTCCTACCCCGTATAGGAGCAGAGATTGGAGACATTGGAAGATGGTTCAACTACCTCTTAGGGCAGATACTTACGTTGGGCAATTTCTATCTTCAGAGAAGGGGCTGAGAGCTGCCTTTGCCCTTTGTCTGAGCACTCAGAAGGGAAGCAAGGGGGTGAGCCTGCGGGACAGGAGGACCAGCCTCCTGTGACGCTCAGGTCGGTCTCCCTGAAGCAAAGGGTTTGAATCAAACTTCTAGTTAAGAAAGATTCCTCTGGCTACACACTGGAGAGGAGAAGAAAGGATACATGGTTAGGATCTCAAAGTATCCTCATACCTAGGGTTCTTTATTTTGCTTGCTAGGGAGCACTCAGTTGTAAGCCCTCTTACATTTAAGAAGAATTTGTTAACATCAGTTCTATGGGTTTTGAGTGGACATCATCATAAAACAGTATTTGTATATACTTCACTCTGAGTCCAGTTTCTTCCTTCACCGTCCAGTTGACCCTTTTCACCTGAATGACCAGCTCTCACTTTACCTTTCTCTTTCAGTAACCACACATTTGGTTTCATACTTTGAGCCTTTCCATTCGTGTGTTTCTGGTAATGACTGGGTTGGACCCACATCCATTTCCTGTTTAAAACAATGTTTAAAGTGCCCAATATCTAAAAGGTGCTGTGCTGGGTCCTCTGGATAGAAAGTGCCCTGATGCCCTCCCCTTCATCCAGTAAACACGAGTAGTAGAAGGAAAATAATGAGAAAACACACATGGGCCAGAGAAAGAGAGTGCAATGGGTAGGATGCTTATCTTGCACACAGCCAATCTGAGTTTGATTCTTGGCACCCTATATTGTCCCCTGAGCTCTGTCAGGAGTGATCCCTGAGTACAGAATCAGGAGTCAGTCCAGAGCATCACCAATCGAGGCCCCAAATCAAAACTAAAACACAAAAAAGAAAACCCATGGAATGAAGGGTACTGATTTCAGGGTCGTAGGACGCAGAGGAGAGAAAGGGTGAGAAAATATAAAATAAGAATAGCAGTGGATGATGAAAAAAAATGTTTCATCTCCCCCTTTGTCAGCAATGCATTTAAAGATGAATAAGTTTTCCCAAACAGAGAGCAGGCCCTAAGTATAGTGTGGGGAAATCAAGGTGGTGGGGGGATGGGGGGAGGGGAAGAGCATTCAGCAAGCAGAGACAACTGGTGGTCCTGGGGTTCGCGTGGAAGATGGTGTTGCAGTTGATGGTGAGTCCAGTTCATCTCCTACTGAGATTAAGCGAGGTCTCCTAGCTCCTGCAAGTTGAGGGGCATCCCCTGAGATTCTGTGAGGAGGGTCGAGTTCAGATTTCTGCTTGTGCATACTCTATGGGCACCTTGAGCCTGACTTGAAAGGATGGAGGCACTTTTGGATAACTATTTGTAACCGTGCAGTGGGAAATGGGGGCAGCCTGGTTTGAGGAAGTCCACTGGGACTTCCTGGAGACTGGAGGGATGGAGATGAGAGGCAAGGCAGGAAGTCACACCTACTAGAAGTGATCTCCTAAGAGTTTGGGGTGTGGGGGCATAATAGAGGTAGGTCTCTAGCTTGTCTCACTGGATACTGGATAATTAGTGGTGTGTGTGTGTGTGTGTGTGTGTGTGTGTGTGTGTGTGTGTGTAAAAGAGAGAAGATGGGAAAAAGAGAGAGAGAGAGCAAGAGAAAGAAGTGAGCCAAGTTTTGAGGAAAAGTTAATGAGTAAATCTGAGGTTCGTTGAGTGTACGGTAATCTGTGGGAAGATAGATGTTGATGTCCAGCAGATGATGTCCAGCAGACGATGGTCTAGAGATGGACAAATGAATCTTCCTTATACTGGTGCCCATGGAGACTTGGTATGACATAAATATCCATGTGCAGCACGTGATCTCAGCTGCCCATAGGCCCTAAGAAGTGATAAATGAAGATATTTTGGAATAAGAATAACAACCATAAAGAAAAAGTGGAAAAATGCAGGTGTGAAATTAAAAAGCATCGGACAAGTGTCCTTAGATGACCCGTCCAAGGTGGAGTATTGCAGAGAGTGTCACCGTAGGCTCACTTCTGGTCCAAGCAAACCTCACAAGTCAGAATTTGGATGTAGTATTATTGGATTTTATAATTTACATTTTTAAACAAAAAGTCCAATTTTAACATTATGTAATATATTCTGATTTAAAAGAACAATGGTAGCAGTTTTAAAAGTCAAAGATAACATAAACAATACATGTACCCATACATTATATATATATATAGATAGATAGATTTTACATTGTTCATCTTTTCTTAGAGTAAGGTAAAGGTAAAGGTAAAGGCCCTCCCGTTGATCGTCGATTTGCTCGAGCGGGCCCAGTAACGTCTCCATTGGAGACTTTGTTGTTACTGTGTCGGGCATATGGAATACTCTCGGTAGCTTGCCGGGCTCTCCGAGAGGGGCAGAGGAATCGAACTCGGGTCGGCCATGTTGGCCGCTTGTAAGGCGAACGCCCTACCCGCTGTCCTATAAGAGTAGTATTTCACTTATATGGAAATATATATGCACACACATAACTATGCACATACCAAATCTGTATATATACATATGTAGATATAGATATAGATAGATTTGGCTATTGTGAGTGGTGCTGAAAAGAACAGGAGCACAAATATCTTTTCTGAGTAGAACTTTTGGGCCCTAGATGTAGATGTTAAGAAGTAATTTTAAGAAGGGTAATTGTTGGGTTACATGGAAGCTCAATTCTTAGTTTTTTGAGAAATGTCCAGGTTGTTTTCCAAAGAGGTTAAACCAGGCAACATTCCCCTCAGCAGTGGATGAGGGTTTTATTTTTCCCAATCCATGCCAGCAATGGTTGTTTGTGTTCTTTTTGGTGTGTGCCAGTCTTGAAGTGATTTAATTTGCATTGTCTTGATTTTCATCTCCCTGATGATCAGTGACTCAGAACATTTTTTCTATATTCTTTGGCCATCTATATGTTTTCTTGGAGGAAGTTTCTGTTCAGATCTGCAGTTTTGGATTGGCTTGTTTTTGTTGTTGTTAAGTTTTACATGTATAAAATGAGAATGGCAATGGGGGATGAAAAAATGTTATCTAGGATATTAACTCTTAGTCGGATGGGAGGAGAGTAAATATTTTCTCCAACTCTTTTTAAAAGAATTCTGGCCACCATTTCTTTTGTGGTACAGAATATTCTTAACATGATGTATTCCCATTTGTTTATCTTTCTGTTTGCTTGGTAAATGGCATTGAGTCATGGATGATGCTTCAGTGACATGAAGGGGTGTACCTATGTTTTCCTCAATATCATTATGGATTCAGGTTTGATATTGAGGCCTTTAGTCCATTTTGATTTGACTTTTGTGCATCGTGTGGGATAGAGATCTGAGGTGATTTTTGTTTTGTTTTTAAACCTGTGACCGATTGAGTTTTCCCAATGCCATTTGTTGAAGAGGTTTTCCTTGCTCCACTTAGTTCATTTCTTTTTTTATTTGCACATCTCACAATCGTTTATTGAAACTAGATATTTTCAATAACACAACTCTAGATATCATTTCCCTTCTTCACAGGGCATGTTTTTCCTTTTTTTTTAAAAAAAAAAAACAAAACAAAACTAAGTTACCTGAACTAATGTATTTTTTGTTGTATGTGGCCCTGGAAGTTTCTGCTTAGATTGTTGAGCCGTGATCGTTGAACAGAGATTTTTTAAGAGTCATGAACTGGTAAGTTCCCTGGCTCTTCTGAGGGGTTCTCTGAGTACATCAGGATATATTTTCAATGACATGCCATGCATTTTTCAACTCGTCCATGACCTTCACTTACTCAAAGAATAAAAGTAAGAGATTCGGGTCTTGGATCTCTCCCGGGAAGGCCACAGCCCTGCTCATGTGTATTGACTGTCTGTCGACTCCCAGCAATGAGTTGATTCTTCCCCGCATTTACCAGGTGTCTCAGACTGTTGTTGGTGGGCCCCACTGGTAACTTCTGTAAAGCAGGGAGAAAGACGGTCATTTTCTCCCAATCCATCTCCGTCACTTGGGACCCAGGGTTACTGGGTTCTTGTCTTGTCTAGCAGAAAAGAATTTCAGGAGTATACAAGGAGTGAAGTAAAACAGATTTTTTTTTGGCAATACTCAGGGGTTACTCTTGGCTCTGCACTCAGGAATTACTCCTGGGGGTGCTGAGGGGACCATATGGAATGCTGGGATACGAACCCAGGTCGGCTGCGTGCTAGGCAAATGTCCTACCCATTGTGCTATCGCTACTCAAGGGAAAGTTTGGTCTTCCTCAAAGGTGAAGAAACCTGGAAATGGCCTTTAAGACTGTTTTCTTTTCTTTTCTTTTCTTTTCTTTTCTTTTCTTTTCTTTTCTTTTCTTTTCTTAAGGATGCGTTAGTCTAGAGTTTTCTGAAAGAGGTGAGGGTTGGTCAGGTGTCAAAGTAACAGCTTTGAAGTTTCTGATCTGATGAATCTCTTTCAAAGTCCTTAATTGTTCTCTATTTCTGCTGCTGTCATCTCTGTAGGGGTCTAGCCTTCTCAGGGTCCATGGGGTCAGGGCTGTGACTTCCCTGGACATTTACTGCCATTGCCTTGAGAGGGGCCTTCCCTATCTGCCTGCCTACATCAAGACCAGAGTGTGGTCAGGACATTTTCTAGCCACCTTCTCTCCTTTTCTCACAGGGAATCCCTGAATGCATTGCATCAGGATTACCTCAGCACGTGTGTGTGTGTGTGTGTGTGTGTGTGTGTGGTGTGTGTGTGTGTGTGTGTGTGTGTGTGTGTGTGACATGCACGCACAAACACGATGGGGGTAGGGGAAGGTACACTCACTGGAGTTTAACATTGTCCATGCCCCCAGGGAAATTTCAGTCCTTAGCTTCTCCCTCCAAGATTTTGACTAGTTAGTTGCGTTAACTCCTATAGCTTCCTAAGGCAACTGCAATGTTAAAGAACTGCTGTGAATTGTTCTCATTAAATACCAGGTTTGGGATGATGGTGGTGGATTGTATCTTTCAAGCTATGAATGGGATCAAATGAAGACGAAGTCCGTTGGTGAGGATTTCCAGAGAAGTTTTAGATAAGTCAGATAAGGACAATTTTCTGCAGATGAGGCCTTTGGGAAGTTCTGCTCCCAACCCTGTAGAGCCACGGGTGGATGGTCATGGTTGGCTTTCAAGAGTAGTGAAAGACGTTCTGAATAACAATGGAACGAGGGAAAATCAAAGCACTAGACAGCTTTGTTCTTATTGTTGTCAATAGTTTTCTTAACACGCCGTGGGTTTTGAGAGCATGTGGCTGCTTTTCAAGTTTCTGAAAATTTTCCAGCATTCCTGACCCCTTTTGATAAAATATATCTTAAATGTTAAAGTTTTTTAATCAATTTTACGTTTTATTATCATTTTGTTACTTACTTCCTCCTCCTCCTTCAACTTCTCTTCCTCCTCCTCTGTCTTCCTCTCCTTCTCTTCCTTCTTCCTCTCCCTCTCCCTCGTCTTCTATCTCTTCTTCCTCCTCCTCCTCCTTCTTCTCCCTCTCCTTTTCCCTTTCCTCCCTTCCTCCTCCCTCTTCTTCCTTCCCCTCCCTATTCCTTCTCTTCCTCCTCCTTCTTTGAAGTTTTCAACTTTGCCAGTCTTTTAAAGTTTCTTATACTACATGCATGTAGTTTACTGTTTAAAAAGTATTCTTTATGGAGCCAGAGAGCTAGTACAGCAAATAGGGTGCTTGTCTCCATGTACACAGGTAAGAGATTAGGTTAGATACCTGATATACGATGTATACCTGGCATCCTCCTAGAACAGCCAGAAGTGATCCCTGAGCACAGAAATCCAAGGAAATCCTGAGCACCGCCAGGTGTCGTCTGCAAACAAACAATTTTTAAGAGACAAATGTAGTGATGTCTGTTATTAAAGGCTACAGATATGTTTTGCTTCAGCTTCTTTCTTAAAAGATTGTACATTAACATTTTCACTGATAAAATACTCTTTGTAGACTTATAAACATTGGATGTCTTTAATTGTTAATAAAATATATTTAAAAGAATTAAAATATTCATGTGGTTAGACAAATTTTATATCCATTTTTGTATGTGAATTGTCTATTTTAATGTTCTTCGTCGGACTATAGCTGTCCATGGATAATAGTTATTTTACATCAGAAAAGCAATGAAAAGATTATGATATATAATGTTATCCAGTTAATTCCATGTTTAAATTTCTATTGTTATTAAAATATTTATTAACCTTTATCACAATTTCAGAATTAATATACTTTTAGCCTCATAATAAAACTACCTTTTAAAAATATTTCTTAGATTCCAGGAAATCTCATCCAACTAGCAACCATTTGAATTCTTGTCATCTTAAATTACATCATAAATTGTTTTTGAGGGAAAAGTATTTTGAATTACACATGTCTAACAGGCTAGTAAACTTTCACACTTGATCTGAGCCAACAGTTTGAGAAGCGATGCTACCAAACTTTTAATAGTATAAATGAATATATATATATATATGTACACACACACACACACACACACACACACACATAGATAATGAAAACTTTCTCTAGAGTTGGTGACCTCCTACAAATTACAAAGGATTTTTCATTCAAACTTTTTTTTTCTTTTTCCAGTTTAAAGCCGGGCCTTCTGCTGTGGATTTCAGAGTAACTGGGGATACAGATGGAATATTTCAGATACAACCGGACGGACTTCTGTATTCCAATAAAACCTTGGACCGGGAGACAAGACCGCTTCATGTACTCCAGGTGACTGAGGCCAGACCCAGGACCTTAGCCCCTAGCCCTCCCCAGTGTCACTGGCACATTCCCCCTTGAGAGAATCGCGCTGCCACAGGTCCCCTGACCTTAAGGGAACACTTGGAAATCTTACATGGTTTTTCTCCCTTTTCAAATTCAGAGGGGCATGGCAATGATGCCCTATACCTTGGACATTTTTTGACCCACAGAATTGTTTATTCTGTCACTGGAAAAATTAATTGATAAAATCACCATGAATTATAGTTACAAAAATTACTCATGACTGGGTGCCAGGGTTACAATGTTTGCACCCCAATTCCTTCACCAGGGCTCACTTACCTCCTCCAATGTCCCCAGTTTCCCTCCTTCTGTCCCCTCTCCCCCGACATTATTTTATTTTATCTCTGTAGGCACTTTGGTTTACAATATTGTTACTGATAGGGTATGTGTGTGTGTGTGTGTGTGTGTGTGTGTGTGTGTGTGTGTGTGTATCACTGTATCACTGTCATCCTGTTCTTCAATTTATTCGAGTGGGCACCAGTGAAGTCTCCATTCATCCCAGCCCTGAGATTTTAACAGCCTCTCCTTACTCGTCCTTCCCAATGTATTGGAGGCTCTTTCAAGGTCAGGGGACTGAGACCCATTATTATTACTGTTTTTACTGTTTTTAGCATATTGAATATGCCACGGGGAGCTTGCTAGGCTCTGCCGTGTGGGCAGGATACTCTCGGTAGCTTGCCAGGCTCTCAGATATATATATAGATATAGATATAGATATAGATATAGATATATAGATATATAGTGTGTGTGGTAATTATGGAAAATGGGTAGGGAGTGTCTTATGATGTGTTCATGAATATGTTCACTTATGCGTGAGACTCGGCCCGAGCATGTGGAAAGAGGCGTGGAGTGTGGCAGCGGTTGGGTAGTGGTGGTCGGGTGCCCAGGCTGGGTCCCTTGGGGCAGGGAGAGCTCTCATCCGCCCCCCCTCTGGGGCGCCCCAAGTCAAAACAGCCTGACGCAGAGTCCATGTACCTCCTTTCAGTACCCAGTCCTTGTCCAGAGTGACCACTTGTCCCTGTCATTGTCAGTGGTCCCTCCCCCACCCACCCCACAGCAGCAAGCTTCCTACTAAGGCCCTGTTCTCTATTATCTTTGGGCACTAGTTATTCCCCTACTATGTTTTGGGTTTCTAACCTGCAGATGTGAGAAATCATTCTGTGTCTGTCTCTTTCCCTTCCCTTGGGCTTTTTGACGAGAGAACCCATCATTCCCCACGAGGCATTCCTCACCCAGATACACATGCCCAGGCCGCTGAGTCAAAACCAGTTCAGCGCTTCTTTGATATTTTCACTGGGATATGCCCGTGGCTGTTGCATGGGCTCTGGACCCAAATGAAAGGAGCATCGGTGATGGAATGGAATTCCCTTATAAGCAGCAGAAGTAGCCAAAATCAAAACCCTAAAATACCCAGAAGCTACCCAAGGAAACTCTTTTTCTCTCCACACACCCCTCTCCTAGTTTTTATGGCTTATATCTGAGTATCCAGAGATGGCAGTTATCTAATTGTCGGAACAAAAGAGCAAGAAAATTTTTTATCTGTATGGAACTCTGGAACTTTCTGCTAGCAGCAGAAGTTGACTACTAACATACTAAAATTTCTATACGTGAATGAGAGAGAGAGAAAGAAGAGGGAAACTGGGGATATTGGTGGTGGGAAGTGTACACTGGTGAAAACTTATAATTGTTTGTCTCACTGTGATTCAGTTAAAAGGGGGCAGGGAGAATAAAATGCTGTGGCATTTTGGGGGCGGGGGGTGGAATCCTGCAAAAGCAACTTTCTAAGAGGACCTGGCATTTACCTTGAAGGTTAAACATATTCTGCATCCTGGTTTTCTTTTCCTGCCGAGAAAAACTCAGTTTAACTAGTCACATTTCTCTGAGAGGACCCATAATGTATCAAGGCTCAAAATGAGCTTTCATGGGTGACTCTCCCTTCTGTAGTCACCTGGTTATTGATTATTAGGATGTAAATTTCATTCAAGTGACATTTGACTGTAAATGTGAAGTTCGGTCTCCCCAGAGTGATTTTCTTCTCTTTGCATTGTCAGGTCTCAGCCCTGAATGCCCAGGGAGTTACAGTTGAGGGTCCAGTTACCATCACCATAGAAGTGAAGGACATTAACGACAACAAACCTCAATTCGTTCCAAAAAAGTATGAAGTCTCAGTAAGACAGAATTCTCGTCCAGGTAATGGGATCCTGCAACTATTGATGGAGAGACAGGAGTGTATATTTGCACTGCTAGTAGCCGCAACTATATCACACATTAAGCACTTCCCATATTATTTAAATTTTATGCAATCTTCTGGGATTTTTTATTATCCCATTGCTCAAGGGCATGTTTACTTAACATTGGGACTTCTGACTCCTTGGACCAATCATTCACCCAACTTCCAATCACAACGATCACGACCATCCTGTTGTTCCTCGATTGCCTCGAGCAGGCCCCAGTAACATCTCCTTCGTGTTGCTTACACGACAACTTCACTGGGACTTGCTCAGTTGCCTCCTTCCACTTTACTATGTGGAGTAATTTCACTATCCCTGACTCTAAAGTTGTAAAATATTCATTAATTAATATTCCAGAATCCTTTTTACTTTACCAAAAGGGTTTTCTAGAGTAGTGATTATTTTCATAACTGAAAATTTGCCTTGTCTATATTCGTTTCTTTTTCTATAGAATGCTTCTTTTTATCCCTTGTACACATTAGAGTTTATTGTCTGTTTCTTAGTGACATTGCAGTGATAAAAATTTTAAATGACTTGACAAAGTCTTCTGATTTCAAATATTTGGAACAGCAATTTATTCATCTTAATGCCATTACAATGAAGAATATATGTGTAAAGAAAATTTCATAGTAATAAAAACATGGGACAGAAAATTACTTAAATAAGATTCGTCTGAAATAGATTTTTTTTTAAATAGTGTGGTTTTAGATAGCTTAAAATGTTAATCTGATGTAATGAGAATTTCCTAATTCTAAGTAAGGTTACAGCTTAAAAGTTTTGGAAAAAACTTTCAGGTCTTACATTTCTCTCTTTACCAACAAATCTTCTAGAACAGTGGTTCTCAAATGTTTTGGTGCCAAGATTCCCATATCCTCTTAAGAATAATTAAGAACTAAAAGTACTTCTGGTTGTGTGGATTATATATCTGGTGACATGCTGGTCAAAGTTTAATAACTGTCTCTCTGGGGGGGAAAGTTCGATTTGTAACATTTGCCAATTTTATAGGTACTATTACTGTGAATTTTTAAGAGTTAATGGTGTTATTGATAATCATACAGAAATTTTGTATAAAACTAAACAAATAATCTCACAAGATGGCCTATATCTTTTAATATTTAGTATTAGAAATTAAGACTGAGGATTTAAATAGCTATTTTAAATAAAAACATTTTAATAAAAAGCGACTATTCTCAAACACACAAAGACTTATAGAGAAGGAAGTCATTGTTAATCTTTGTAAATATCTCTAATGTCTAATTTTTGGAGAAAAATTGTATTTTGTGTCCTTCTGCATTTGTTCAATTACTATCTGCAGATTGGGTTGAAGTACAGGAAGGAAAAACTCACACAGGTTGTAGCTAGAAAAGAGAGGAGTGTAGGAATACATACTACAATAGAAAACTGAGTCTCTGTTTTTACACAGTCACAAAAATTAACAAGGATTGGTTTCTTAAAGTTTGATGGCACATGAAATCTGAAACTCAGCAATGCCCCTAATTTGGTGAACTTTTAGGCTACAATCTTTCAAATAATCTCCTGCTTTGAATAAGTATTTCACATGTATGTTTTTGCTCCATTGATTCCTGAAAGCAGTCTCAGAGACTCAGATTTTTAGAAATAATCTTCAGCAAAGGGAAAATAATAATAAAAAATTATACTAATATGAATTATGGTACCTTTCGCTACTTTATCTATGTTTTTTTTAGAAGGTCAAAGTATGTTTGATTGATTTAGGTCTCAATATTTTTTTCCTTTCTGGTTATGTTCTGTTTAACAGGAAAACCCTTCCTGTATGTAAATGCCACCGATTTGGATGATCCAGCCACGCCCAATGGCCAGCTTTCTTATAAAATTATGCTCCAGCTTCCCAAGTTTAATGATATCATGTATTTTCAGATCGACAGCAAAACTGGGGGAATTTCACTTACCCCAGAAGGTATGTCAAGGGACATAGGACTATGTCAGAAAACAGGAACTAGATTTTGTGTCACCTTCAGAGACATTCCCTGTCCTCTTCTTAACTATTTCCCATAGGATCTAAGGATTTGGATCCCACTAAAAATTCTTTCTACCAGTTGGTAGTTATTGTGAAGGACATGGGAGATCAGGAAGAAAATTCCTTCAGTGATGACGCAGATGTGGATATCACAGTGTTGGGCAATATTTGGAAGGCACCAGAACCTGTGACGATCATAGAGAACTCAACTGATCCTCACCCCATGAAAATCACTCAGGTAACGCCTCCAAATGCTTAAGAGTGTACAGATTAACAGCCCAGCCTTTAGTGATCCTTTTAGATCCTCACAGATACATTTATTAGGGATATTTTTGTGTAGCATAAATTATATAGCAAACTAAATAGACAAAATATCTTAGCTCAAATCCCTCAAGCTTACCGCGAGTAAACTATGAACAGACTTCACCAATTTGTATTTAGCTATCAAAATCTTTATATTTGAGTGTTGAAAGAACGTCCCTAACCATTCAAAGTAGCTACCATTGATATTTTTTTCTCTCTGTGTTGACAGCTCTCTAGAGGGTTGTATACAGTCGCTTTCAATATGTTTCAAAGGCTGGTTATCACTATTGTGAGGAAAATATTACCTATCCAGTAGTCTCACCCCATACTAAGCTAAGGGGTAGAAACAGAACTGAACAGGAGTGAAAGACCTGAACAACATCCTTAACCCATGGAGATCAATACTACCCCAATTCAAGCCCAGTTTCCCCTCCTTCCCAAATCCATGCGATCACTCTGGGTCCCCAACACCTTTTGGGCTTCAACCATATGTGATCTTTTCTGAACATCAGGACATTCCTTGACATGAGAACTGGCTTTGTGAAAGAGCACTGAATTTAGAGGTTGGTGGACAAAGTCTTCTTTGGTTTATTACTTTAAGGATTGATCATGAATAAATCGTGTAACTCTTCTGGGTCCCAATTTCTTCTCATCAATAGCATGGGGTTCCTAATAATTCCCCAGGTTGTTGTGGGGATTAAATGAGAGTCGGTTTCTGTGAAAATGCCCATGTTATTCATATTCTAAGAAACTGCCTGTTTTTAAATAATGTTGTTAATATTAAGTGGTTCTGGAAGAGGCCATCCCATTATACCTTTTATATAAATTGAAAGGATTTTAATTTATTGAAACCTGGATTAATGAAAGAAGTATTCTGCTTTACCAGGACTCGTTGCCATGAGAACCTTAGATCTGGTGTCTTTACTCAAAGTCTTTCTACTATTACTTAGCTTTTGTATAGGAGATTTTAACTAGAATGCTGAATGCTCAAAATTTCTGCCAATGAAAAGAGGCTTTGAGGAGACACACCATACAGATGGCCTAGAGAAAGGGCTCTGTGTGTTATGATACCCAGGAAGATGAGTGGAAAGGAAGAGGTATCTCGAGAAAGTACTTAGACAAATAGGAAGCATAGGGGAATCTTTCTTAGAACCAAGAACTTTGGCCTGAGCAGAAGGTAGTGCTTAATTAAATAGCAAGAGAAAATGTTCTTCTGTTTGTGGGGGGGAGGGGGTACAAGTAGGTAGAGCTATGCTCAGGGCTTATTCCTGATTCTGTGCTCAGGAATGACTTTGGGCTGGTTTAGAGGACCACATATGCTGAGATTCAAACTTGAGTCTGTCATGTGCAAAGCAAACACCCTATTCACTACTGTGTGATCTCTCCAGACAAGAAAATGGTGGTTATTGATGTGCTTTCAAGACTGGTCTGAAAGACAGTTTAGCATGAAAATTTCAGTTAGTTTTAAGACCTTGGACAAGTAACTTAACTTTGTACCCTGGTGACATCATTCAAAAAATAAGTGGGGGATAAATGTATTTAATTTCACATGAATGTTTGAAAATTTAATAAATAATTTAATGAAAGTGCTTAATTGTCTGGAATGTGGTAAATCCTTAATAAATGATTTTATTAGTATTAGAATATAAAAGAGCTCAGACTGTCTGTAGCAATTACACTAAGCTTGCTACTTATTCATTTTTTGTCAAGTTGTTTTATATAAAACAACACTAGGAGATGACAATGTTTCTTATCCTTGAATTTGATAAGACTAAATATTTAGGTGAGGAATATATTTTATTTAGATACCATTTGTCTTACAAGCATGAAAGAGAGCTTAAGCACCTCCTACTACATTATAATTATTGTTTTTAGAAGTTTATCATATATTGTGGCTTATATTCAGATAATGTCAACAACGGAGAAAATTTTGTTTCATAAATTAATCTTTTATGGATATGAAGGCTCTGTCGTCAGACTTTGAAAAGAAAAATTCACAAACTTTATAAAGTGTTCACACAAAATCAATTTATCTTAGAACAGATACATACTCTGTTCTTTTAGGGGGAATAATCAAAAGGGGAACAAGGCTTATTTTAGGTTGACAATGGGACATATAATTCAGTAGTTAAAAGAGACCACAGCAATTTCCAGTCAAGAACCAGAAAATCATTTATTTCCTTTCCAGTTCTTTTGGTCCAGAAATCTATTTCCTCACAATTCCCTTTGGGCCCTGTAGGTCCGGTGGAATGATCCAGGTGCAGTTTACAGCTTAGTTGAAAAGGAAAAGCTGCCAAGATTACCATTTTCAATTGACCAGAATGGAGATATTTATGTGACTGAGCCCTTGGACCGAGAAGAAAAAGATTCCGTGAGTAAAATGGGGAGAAATTTCACAGACAGTACAAAGTCTAGTGTCCGTGGCCATCTGAGAGCAGAACTAATCATACATTACCCAGCCCCCTTGAACACATACAATCCTTTATGTTGAACCTTAAAACATTATTGAGTTTGAAGACAGAATTTCCTAGGGACATAGCAGTAGGACAGTGAGTAGGATGCTTGCTTTGCATGCAGCAAACCCAGGTTCAATCCCTGGCACCTCATCTGGTGTCCTGAGCCTGCCAAGAGTGATCCCTGAGTGCAGAGCTAGGAGTTAGGACTGAGCATTGCCAAGTGTAGCCCACCCCCCTCCCTAAAAAAAAGACATAAAATGTCCCTACAAATAAGACCCATTTCTTTTTATTTTATTTTTTAAATTTCCCAGTCCTAAGTACTGTAAACGGAGCGGGGAGGGGGGGCATGAAATAGAAATTAAACATCTGTTTCTCTCGCCTTAAACAGGGTAGTGAGTGAGTTATATCTTAACTCTCACTTTCCTGTTATAGTATGTTTTTTATGCAGTTGCAAAGGACGATCAGGGACTTCATCTTGCACGACCTCTCGAAGTGAAAGTGAAAGTTGAAGACATAAATGATAATCCACCTTCTTGTCCCCCGACTATAACTGTATTTGAAGTCCAGGAGAATGAAAAGATAGGTAAGATATGGGAACTGTTCAAAATTGTATATTATTCTCTTTGGGTTAACTCATAATCCATCTGTCATCACTCCTGAGTAAAAGCTGTGCAGATAAATCTATTCAATACCCAGCAATGCACAGAAGTGAATGTACATAGGAACTCAGGAATACTGTATTTCAGGTCAAACAACTTTAGATCAAAGAGCACATTGGTAGTACTTTTAAATTGAAGATCAATCACTACCACAATCACTACTATCGGTATTAAAACCACTTACTGTTACTGCTATTACTCCCACCAGCCTTACTCTAGAACCATAACCACTTACACCAATATTCTGCATACCTTATATAATTTGACCTCAATTGCAAGGTTTTACCAAAAGCTCTTATTTTCCTCCTATTAAGTTCATCAGCACATACAATAATATCAAATTTTCTAAAGAATTTTAAAAATCTAAACCCAATCTCAGATACCTTGCAGTACCTAATCAATAGAATGGATACTGACTTCTGTCTGTGACACCTTCTCCAGGCAGTTAACAACATTTCACAACGCTGTCACTGTCACTGATCACTGTCACTGATCTCCCGTTGTTCATCGGTTTACTCAAGTGGGCCCTGGTAGACAAAATTCTAATCCTTTCTATTTCTCTCCTTTTGGTCTTGATCTTCCATATCCCTTACCTGTGTGTCATGCTAGCTTGGATTTTGTAAAAGATAACATGAAAACACTATTTCTGAAAGATTTATATTTTTCGCAACTGTATCTGTTGCTCACTGATGTTGACCAGACAAACATTTATTAAAATATGTTTGTATATTATTTGTGTGAGTTTCAGGGGCTGACAAGCATCGAAGCCTCTGTGAAAAATATTCCTAGAGTTTGCCGCTTTTGTGAATAGATCCTCACTTGCTATATGAACATTTTCATCCTTTTCTTTTGGTCTCTGTGCTCTTCTCAAACACACATTTTGACAAAATAACAGTATGCTGGGAATCTTGTACATTCTGCTGTATGTTTTACTCCTTTTATGCTCTTTTATTTTCTTCTTGCTTCTAGATATGCTTCCCGTTGGCGGTGTGTTCAACTCAGTGTCTCTCTATTTCATTTATTTTAGCTCTTGATGCAGCAAGAATAGCTCAATGATAACGCTAAAGATTTTTATCAATAAATTTTAAAAAAGATTTTTATCAGTCATAAGTAAGGATATAACTATGATATTTGTGTAATAAACAAATATAGAAAAGTGGCCAAAAAAGAAACATTTGTGTTAGCACCCTTTTGGAAATCTGGCCAGGAGTGTGCTCTGTGCATTCATTCAGTAGAATCAGGGATAAAACTCATCACCTCATGCTTGCAAATACCTAGATGGTAACATGTGGTTTTTGCTTCATTTTTATATAATATAATATGTGTACATACTCTAGTAGTACTTGATAAACACTAAACTCCAAAGACTATATGAACACAAAACTAAGAGGAATATATATTTTTTTCATATTTTTGATGCTTGGCTACTTTTCAGTAAAATAGAGTTATCAGTATTTAACTTTAGTGACATCCGGTAGTCTGTGTTGTTTACTTTTAAAATTCTAGAAATTGTTTTGGACGACAAATAAATAAAATATTGTACAAGTAGGCAAAATCTATCAACTGCCACTGCTCTACTTCCATATCTTCTGCTTTTTTACTCTATGATTTTCCTCTATTCGATATGCCAAACACAGTAACAACAAGTCTCAACATGGAGACATTACTGGGCCTGCTCGAGCAAAATCGATGAACAACGGGAGGACAGTGACAGTGACAGTGACTTTCCTCTGCAATTCACAATGTCACATTCCTGTGCTCCATTTTATTCAACTCCATGATAGTTATATTATAACACAGGTGTTTCTCCAGCCTTACCTGATAACCCCTCCAAATTTAGAAATAAGTAAGTTGACACAAGTTGGAAACTGGTGGTGTCAACTCATTCGGCAAATGAGAGGTATTCAAATCTAACCCCTCCCCTGGAATTCTCGCTGCTGCAGAGAAACCCACAATTCTCGTTTCACAGGACAAGTTTCTCAAATGAGTCTGAATTACCACAGAACTAGTCAGTGTCTGACTTTGAGAACTCCTTGAACTTACCTCAAAGGAAAGAATCATAAAAGTAGGGCTATAAACTGCAACAGGGCAGAGGGTGGTGCCTGCTCTCTGCCCCACATTATCTTTGGGGTGGAGTCAGTCTGTATACTAGTCCCATGAAGCTGCTTATAAGCTGCGTTTCTATTTGTTTAGTAATACTGTTTGCCTACCGCATTACAAATGGCCCGTGTCTGTTGCAACAAATGACTGTAAATCTTGTTGGTTGAAAAGTAACAGGAATTTTTTCTCTCACAGTTCTGCAGTCTAGGGGTCCGAAATCCAGGTACCATTAGGGCTATGCTCCCCAAAAGTTCACAATCACGATCATGACCATCCTGTTGTTCGTCGATTGCCTCGAGCAGGCCCCAGTAACGTCTCCTTCGTCCTAGCCCTGAGATTTTTAAAAAGTGCCATATTCAAGGCTCTTTCAGGGTTAGGAGAATGAGACCCATCATTGTTACTGGTATTTGGCATATTGGGTACGCCACGGGGAGTTTGCCAGATTCTGCCGTGTGGGCAGGTTACATTCGGTAGCCTGCTGGTTTGTCCAAAGTAAGAATGAGATAACAGGATGTTGCGCGGTTGCATTTGCGGCTGCGCGCTTCTGGAAGCTAGGTTTTATAGTCTCTGGATCTTGGCCGTTGATGGGATTACACGGCAGAGTCTCCTGCCCCTGTGCCTGGCTGTCCTCGCCGGGGTCCCTTGGAGGGGGGGGGGTTGGGTTTCCCTCCTCTCCCCGACCAGACCTCCCGCAGCCAAAGACCTCCAGAACCCCAAAAGTTCTAAGGGAAAAATCATTACTTTTTTTGAAATTCTTTGATTGATTTCAGCAGCCTTATTCTAGCGTCTGTCTCTTTCACATGGCTTCCTTTGTGTATATATATATATATGTCTTCTCTTAAATTTTTTGGTTTTGATTTTGGGCCACACCCAGCAATGCTCAGGGCTTACTCCTGACTCTGTGCTCAGGGATCACCCCTGGCAGTGCTCAGGGGACCATATGAGATGCTGGAGATGGAACCTGGGTCAGCCTCATGCAAGGCAAGTGCCCTCCCACTTCATTATCTCTCCAGCCTCTCTGTGTCTCTCTTCTTATAACAATACTAATTATAGGATTTAGGACTCATTCTAAATCCAAGGACATTTCAATTTCACACTCTTAGCTGGGAAAAAAACCTAACTTAATATAAAAATGTAAGTTAATAAAATACAAGTCTGGATATGAGTTTTAAATTCGTACAGTGAAATCTTAATCCCCGGTACTTCAAAGTGTACCTACATTTGAAGATAAGGCATACAAAGGGGCAATTAAACTAGGTCAATCAGCATTGAGCCTAATTCAAATTACTGATATTCTTCTACAAAGAGAAAAGTTGAGCATTTACAGAAAAATGACTAAATGAACATTCCTACAGAAGCTATGAGAAAGTTTAGGTGAGATATCTCAGGAGAAACTAATTTGGTTGATACCTCACTCTTAGAGCTCTAGTTTCTAGAAACTGTGAGTAATACATTTGTTATTAGTTATCCCATTTATTGTACTTTGTTATGACAGGCCTTGGAAACTAATATACTATACAAATCTATGATTATGGGAAGGCTTATAAGATATTTTTTAAAAAAAATCTAAGAACTTTGGTCTGTCTCTTTACTACGTATTTTTATTTTTCCATTTCGGGGGAGGTATAAGGACCACCAGGCAGAGCTTAGAGCTTACTCCTGGATTTGCACCTAGGAATTAGTTCTGGCGGTACTTGGGTGACCATATGTGATCTCGGGATAGAAGCCAGGTTGTCCACGTGCAAGCAAATGCCCTCTTCACCATCACGTTAGGATGCTAAGAATCAGCCTCTTCAGCAAAACCATTAAAATTGAGTTAGTAATGAAAGCATTCCTCCCCTTCCCCACCACAGGGAGTTCTATTGGGAAATTTACTGCCCAAGACATGGATGAAGCAAACAGTATCAACAGTGTTTTAAAATACAAGATTGTGGATCAAACCCCCAAACATCCCAGAGAAGATCTCTTCTTGATCCAGGACTACTCCGGAGTGCTACAGTTAGCGAGACAATCTTTGAAAAAGCAAGATTCTCCGCAGTACAATTTGACAATATCAGTTTCTGACAAAGGTTAGTATCACTCTCACCACGCAGAGCAAAAATACTTCTTTTCTTTCTAGTGATGTGTGAGACTCTAGAGGAATGCCGTTAAGAATTGTAGCTTCAATGTAAGAAGCACACAGATGGTCTAGCAGTATAAAAATCAGAGTCAAGCTATCTTCCACATGCTTGGGTCGAGCTTCACATATGAGTGGACATGTTCTTGGACTGCGCAGCTGTGAAAGTGGCCAGGCGACACATCATAAGACACTCCCTACCCATTTTCTATAATTACCACACCATATTTGATGGGGTTCAGACAGTAGGCGACAAGTCACAGAGGGAAATATATGTATATATGCATATATACATATTTTCAGATATATATACCAAAGCTCACATCACCCAAACTTTAAAAACATGTTAGTGATATCCTATAGAATGTCTTAATGGCTCCTGCCAAAACAGAACAATCTTCTCACTGTTTCCTATATGAACACATTTTTTTGTAAGCCTGTTCAGCAGTGCTTCATAACAGACAATATAAAATATATTCTTTCGTTTGTGTTTTGGGATAGGGATTGGGACTTGGGATGGAAACATCCCAAATTTGGTAGTGGGAAGGTGTAATGGTGGTGGGATTGGTGTTTGAATATTAAATGTAATCAAATATTTGTCAAGTAACATATAAAATAAAAAAAATTAGAGTCACACCTTTGGGCACGTTATTACTCTAGTCCCCTGAGGAGCAGATGGCAGGAGAGGAGTTAGTGTACGAGGGTTCTATGAGGGGAGTTCTCTCTGCAGAACTACTGGGAGAGGCAGCGAGTCACGATATGATCCTCCAATGGTGAAGGATTCAGATAATCAAGACAGGCGGAGGTTCATGGTACTAAGCACTCAAAGAAAAGTTCAGCAAGATCCCTGGGGAGTCCAAAGTCGAGAGTACAAGGAGTCCATGATCTCTAAAACTAATCTAGGCAGGCTTAGATGTAAATGTGCTGATAGATTCAGAGTAGAGCAATGGAACTGCCCTCGACGGAGAAGTCTGTCATTAAAGCTCCATTCCTGTGGAAACTTTACGAGAAAATTAATTTTATTTCACAATGCTGTCTCCTGAATTCTAAGGATTTTTTTTACTTTATTTTTTTTTAATGAATCACTGTGAGATTCACAGTTACAGAATTGCAAACTTTCTTGCTTACGTTTAAGTCATGCAATGGTAGAGTACCCATCCCTCTGTGTTTGTTTTTTGTTCGTTTGTTTTTTGTTTGGGGGCCACACCCAGGGGTGCTCAGGGTTTACTCCTGGTTCTGCATTCAGGGGTCCAGCTCGGGGAGTTTCAGGGCACTATATGGGGCACTCGGGATTGAATGTGAGTCAAATGTGCACGAGGCAAGGTCCTCCCAGCTGTACTATCTCTCCACATCCTGGACTCAAAGGATTCTACTGTATTAAAGTGGAGGAGATATGCATCTTTTGGGCAATTCATTATACTGATTTCTCACTTGTCTTTGATTTTTCCATACAATCTCAAAAAAAGGGTGATTTTTATTCGGGATTTGGGGGCCACACCCAGTGGTGCTCAGGGGCTATTCCTGACTCCAGTCGTGCTTAGGGGACCATATATGGTACCAGGGATTTGAACTAGGGTCCTGGTTGTGGCAGCCACTTGCAAGGTGAACACATTATTTTCTATGCTATTTTTTTTCTGGCCCTCAAAATAGATGCTCTTGATATTTATTAAATCATAAGAACCCTTGAGAATCTGATAAAAAATGTAAAGTCTTACACAAATGCATGTGTTCTCAGACAAATGTCCTTCTGAGCCCTCAAATACATATATTCTGGCATAAACACACACGGAGGCACACATTCACCTTTCTTTGAGTTAACTAGAACTGCACTTAAGATTGGCTAATAGTTCAGTGCACATTAGGTAACATGGTAATCATTAAGATTATTATAATAGTTGTAGGAAATGACAGCATCATTTCACATATTCCAGATTTCCCCCAGCCCCCATTACACAGAAAACTGGAGCTTAGCGGGTTCTTAGTGCAAAATGTTTGAAACGGGCACTTTGATAAATATTTAGGTTCTAATATTTGTCTGGGCTGGAGCGATAGCACAGTGGGTAGGGCGTTTGCCTTGCATGCGGCCGACCCAGGTGGGCCAACTCCAGTTCAATTCCTCTGCCCCTCTCGAAGAGCCCAGCAAGCTACTGAGAGTATCACGCCTGCATGTCAAAGCCTGGCAATATACCCATGGCGTATTTGATATGCCAAACACAGTAACAAGTCTCACAATAGAGACATTACTGGTGCCTGCTCGAGCAAATTGATGAACAATGGGAGGACGGTGCTACAGTGCAGTGCTAATATTCGTCTAGCATCATGTTAAGTGGAACAACAAAATCGAGTATAATGAATCATCCTTACGTATGATGAATTAGCAGTTTTGTACAATTAGCCCTTCATTCCTTCACCCAACAGTTACTTTACTTGTTTGAGGTACCATCGAGGATGTTGAAGAGACATAGGTGTATCTTCTAGTGTCTGGGAAATAAGTGAATTATTAGAGGGAAGAACGGATAAGAATTTCTGAAAGAGGAGTCATTGTCTTTTAAAAAGAAAATTCCTCCTTGACTCTCAGAACCATTTCCCTTCCCGTTCTAAGCTGAGATTTTTTAGGGGGTGGGGGGCAGAGGGGGTGTTGTTTAACAATCACTCCTGGCTCTACATTTAGGGATCACTCCTGGTAGGGCTCAGGCATCAACCCTGGGTCAGCAGCGTGCAAGATAAATGTCCTAGCTGCTGTACTATCGCTCGGGCCCTTGAGCTGAGTTTTTAAGGAGATGAATACTACAAGTCACAAAATTGTGTAGTAAAAGCATCCACATCTATAGAAAAATGGACCAGATTATAAACATGTATTTAGGCATGAATACATATGCATGTATATATGTCAATTGAATTAAACATTCGATTGTACACTACAGAAAATTAAAGACTAGGTTGCAGCTAAAGTTACGAAGAAATTTTCCAGAAGACCCCGGCTGGTTCAAATAAGGATTGTGGAGATCAGAGAGAGAATGAGTTCAGGCCCTGGACACCTCCCCTGCCGCCGCCTGTATAATGTCTATTCTTGTTTTTATAGTACTTGACCCTAAATTTCATCAACATTTACTTATATCAACAATACAACTGAGTATTCAGTTACATGCCAGGTACTGGAGTTCTTGTACACTGGACACAGGGTGGAAGGTCTCTCACAGGGCCTCATTGTATCATTTTTTCCCTCCCTTGGAAGGGCACCAAACTTTCCCACGACAGAAGGCAGAGGGGACATAGGGTGATGAATGCTGCAAGTGTTCAGCTAAGAAAAATAAACTGTTTTGATGCTCAGGGAAGACTTTCTGGAAGAAGAAATAATTTTCTTTATTTGGGGGCCATACCCAGTGTGCTCTGCACTCACGAGTCACTCCTGGCAGGTTCAGGGTGCTGGGAATGGAATCTAGGTCTGCCACGTGCAAGGCCAGTGTCCAACCATTGTATTAGCGTCCAGCCGTGGAAGAAGAGCTGGCAGTGGGCTTGGAAGGCTATCTGCATTTTACCTGCCTATGAACAAGGCTTACCCAGGATGCGCAGAGGGAGATGGTAACCCCAGGAAACTTCTCTCAGCACTTTATACTTCCCTTTGTGACCTTATGGGTACAGGTCAGGCCAGAGAATTCCCCCTCCACAGAAATTGTAAGTCATAGCAAATTTGTGTATATAGTTGTCGCTCTACTTGCCAACATTGGTGAGTGGGGGCAGATTTTAATTTTAACTCATGACTGTCACTGAAAATATTTGTGATATTGCTTTGACTTTCAGATTTCACTACAATCTGTCATGTGCAAGTCAACGTCATTGATATCAATGATCAGATCCCCATCTTTGAAAAGGCAGACGTGAGTAGCTGTCACCATTTGTTGGTTTTTTTTTTTTTTGCTTTTTTACTTTAGTTATATTTCCTGACTCCTACTTTTGAAATGAAGACACAGAGAGCGGTTAAGTAAATTGTCAGGCTTAGTCTCTGCACTGGTAATGGACCCAGATGCCATCTTCAGTAGAAATCTGCAGGGAGCAATAACATTCACTATTAGAGTATATGGGAATGTCTGTTTATCAACTTCTGCCAATGGCTCATTGGTTCTAAGGGCTGATTAAAAGCAACAATCATGATGTTTGTCAAATTAAAAGGAGTTGAATGACTATTTGTCCTTTGTCATGATCTATTTTGCATGTTGTAAAGTGATAAGCAGATTACAGCAAGGTCACAAATGAGAATTTTTTTCAAAAATTTAATATTTGGAGTACTGGTAGTTTGAGCTCCTTTTGAAATAATAGGATAAGAGACAAGGAGAAGGAAAAAACTACTCTTTGACTTAGAGAGAAAATATGCTTACAACATTTTTAAGAACTAGAATTGTCCTGAAGGAATCGGGGTGGGGGGTGGAATTATCAGTAGAAGACATCAAGAAAAAATGCAAATTACTGTTTGCAAATTTTTGATGTGGGCTTTAAACTTGGGCTGGTTCTATCACTATGCCCCTTATAAAGAATGTCTCTCTGCTTATTCCGGAGCAGAGAGAACCTCCTTGGACTAGGTTGCTCTGTCGTGTTGAAGTCAGATATGAGACAGTCCTGTGATGATGTCCATAAATCAAATAGGGACAAGGCTGTGACAAAGAAAGAAACTGATTTATGAGAGAGTTGTGTCTGAACAGACTTGTGCAGCAGACATTGAAGCAAAGCAAGCAGCAATAAAGAGCTGGTACCTTCCCAGCCCCCATTCTCTTAGGCATTTGATTTGACTCTGGGTTGGGGTTTCCTTACTGAACATCTGGATGGTGATTGTAAAAGGAAGATCAGTCGTGAAGGTGGTGACTAGACTCTGAAGAGAGTGAATATGCTTCTTTTGTTGCCAGAGTCCTCTGAGGACCCTGTCTGTCACCATTCTTAAGATCAAGGTTCCAAAGACGTGATCTAGGCAGTTTTTAGTGGAGGACTGGAGGATAATCTAGGGCAGTGAATAGGAGCACAGACTTCGCTGTTGTTTATCAGCATGAACGTTATTTCTGTGTCTGTTGGGAGTGGCTTTCAGCAGGTTTTAGCTCTCCAGTCCTTTGAAATTCAGATAGAGATGCCGATCTAACTACTCAGTAGTGTTTCTTATCTCTATCCAGTTTTTACTAAGTGCTTTATATAAAGATGTTCTGGGCTTTATGTGCATTATGTCTCTTAATCTCTGCTGCACGTATGAAGTGGGTTCTATTATTGTCTCTACTAGATAGATGATAAAACCAAGACTCAAAGAAGTTAGGTAACTTACGCCAAGTATCCAGTTAGTAAGTGGAAATTCAAGGGTTCAAACTTGACTCCGTGTCCAAACTCTTATTCCCCCCATTGCTTTAAGAATCAATGGAATTAACTTATAGTTAGTTAACGTAAAGTCTGCTCTACTGTGGGGATTCAGTACTACTAGTCAATTTTCTATATGAATGTTGCTAAAATAACAGTCCTTTAGTGACCATATCAGATACAAAAAAGGGAATCTGTTTTGAACCCTATCAGTAGCTTTCTGAGTTATGTTTTTGGTATATAATAACAGGTATCAGTCCAGGGGTATGACTGTAGTCAAAGAAAAATTGTGCTTCGTGTTGACGGCATGATGATTGTTGTCCATTCTCAAACCAGAGACAGGTTTGCTCTTTACCAGGTAAGCTTGATGGCAATGGAGGTTCTCATCGCTTCCTTCCTTTGTTTCCTTTTTAGTATGGAAACCTGACTCTCCCTGAAGACACGCCCATTGGAACCACCATCTTAACCATCCAGGCCACAGACTCCGATGAGCCTCTCACTGGGAGTTGGAGGATCGTGTATCGAATTATAGCGGGAGATGATGAGGGCCAGCTGGACGTTGAGACTGATCTTCTTACCAACGCTGGCTCTGTCATAGTTAAAAAAGTAAGTGGCCCTCTTAATGGGATTGTGGATTTTTAAAAATAAATTTGTTTTCTTCTGACCACATGAGGATTTTTAAAGAGAGGATTGGCCAGGAACTCCTAGAGTAGAACTTTATTATTACTGTCCTGAAAAAGGGAAAGTCTGGATTCTTATTCTCGGTTGTCACTAAACAAATGACCTTTGCAAAGGGAGGCAGCTTTGCCATATAAAATACAAAACAGAGCATAAACAAGTGTTAATATTAGTCTGCCTCATGTAATATTTGGAGGGGGGGCATACTGATGCTTTAAAAATTATTTATCTAAGATTCAAATTTAACTCAGTGGTTTATTTAGCAAATAATATTTCCTGCTATTTTGGGGCCATACTCGCCAGTGCTCAGGGTTTATTATTAGCTCTGAGTTCAGGGATCACTCCTGGTCAGCCATATTCAAGGCAAGCAAGTACCTTAACCATTGTATTATCTCTCAGGCCCCTAGCATATATTTCCGTTTGATAACTCCGGGATTGGGGATGATAAGAAGTTACCTTCTTGTTTTATAAATGGAGTAGGTGTTAATGAGCCCTATGTTTCTTATAGGCTATAGATTCTTTACTCTAATGTGCCAAGACTAAACTTTTAAAATCATGACTAGAAATTTATGTTTTCTTTCAAGGCTTACTTCTTCCATGGATTATGGTACCATTAAGCCCACTGACTCGAGCTTTCTCTCTCTTCCTCTGTAAGCACTGGGCAGCTGAAAATGCAGCCTTGATTACTCTAGTACCTTATTCCATGTACAGGTCCTTCCTCAAGTTGCCTCCCATCCCTTACCACTTACATCTAAATGTTGAGTCTTTTTTTTTATGGCTGTCTCATCTACAGTTTAGAGCAGAAAAACTGTTTGCCAGAAAACTAAATAGGAAGCAGCTCTCAGGGTCATCCAATACATTTCAAATGAAAAGGAATGAGAGTTGCAACAATAAAATCTCGGGAAGCATCATTGAATGTTGAAGAATTGTAATGCAATGTGCAAAGAAGTCTCTGAGGGAAGTTTTGTTCAAGAATGAAGGAAAACTGAAACGGAGGCTTTAAATGGTGGAGAACTAGAATAATCTCACAGGAAATAGAAACACAGGGACAAAAGTTGTAATGATGAAGCAAACCCTAAACTGTTTCAGAATTCAGATCCCATTCATTACTATTATACTCTGTGGCAAAGGGTCACACTGGGTTTTATAAAGTTTGGGTGTGAAACTGTTAGTTTTTAAATGAGTCTGACTTTGGGTGACAAGGTGTCTTTGCAACTTCCCTTTCGTTCATGACCATCTACATGGAGAGAAGGAACCATAGAAGGAAAAAATAAAGAAAAGGGCGCTTTTCCGGGTTTGTAGTGGGCGATTCACACAGCATGTTTGATCCCATTAAAATAGATTAAGGTATCTGTCTTCCAAGCTCCCCCAGGCCCAGAGGTAGCAAGACATCTAAGAAGAGGCAGAAGCTCACCCACCATAATACGAATGATATCCTAGTGTCATTTTTTTATGGGAGCCTGTTGTGAACTGAGTTAACTTGAACTTTTAGGGAGATGTTAACTTTTTGTTAACAGGAGCTTTTAGGGAGATGCTGGTAACCTCCATGGTTAGCAGTAGGTTAGCATTATAAGCAGACATGAGGAGCTATGTTTCAGCAGACCACACCTCTGGCCAAACTCACTACCATGTCATTATTTTGTTGGTGATTATATTCCAAATGTTTAGAATATTTCCTGACACACAGTGGATATCCAGTGAATACTGATTAACAATAATTGGATTCTGTTCTAGATGCAATTATTAACAAATAGTCACAATCTCACTTGTGCTTTGTGCCTGTGTGATCTCACCTCTGTTCCTGGTGGACTTTAATAACCGTTCTCTGGTCATGGTTCCTTTGATGGCCCACAGGTGGTCCGAGACAGGAAACAGTGGGGGTCCTGGGACTCTGCAGGAACCAGCTGCTGGACTCGTGTTGTGCTAATACCATGGCCAACTGGTGGCCTGTGTCTTGAGCTCAGCTATGTGCCTTGAATATGATCAATATCAATAAATCTCTGTGAGATTCCTTTGCTAATTATTAAAGAATCTAAAGTTTTGTTTGAGTAAATGCTAACCCTAAAATAACAATCTGATTAGAATCTGGGATGGGGTTCAAAGACCTAAGATTTAGAATAAAAATTGTTCCATGCATGCTTATCAATTAGGAAATTACAGGGGTTCAAAGAACTGTACTAGAAAGGGATGTTTAGTCTAAAACATATAATTATATAAATATTTAATAAGGTAAAGGTAAAGCCCTCCCGTTGATCGTCGATTTGCTCGAGCGGGCCCAGTAACGTCTCCATTGGAGACTTTGTTGTTACTGTGTTTGGCATATCGAATACTCTCGGTAGCTTGCTGGGCTCTCCGAGAGGGGTGGAGGAATCGAACTCGGGTCGGCCATGTTGGTCTCTTGTAAGGCAAACGCCCTACCCGCTGTGCTATCGCTCCATAATATATATTTCTAATATGTTTTAAATAAATGGATATATTTATGTAATATATTACCAATTTTTCCCATTGTTTTACATGCCCCAAGTGATGGTTAAGATTAAACGTGTTTTAGAAATGTGCCTTACTCTAGATTCATTGCATCTTCTTGGGGCCAAGTTGGCATCAGAAACAGGAAGATTCTTTCTTTGATCCCTGACTCATCCATATTCTCTTCCAATTCCCTTTCTTGAAACTTAATATTTCATTTTAGCCTTAATTTTGTGAATGCAAATGTTGTCACTTCCTCTTTATGATTATACCTTTTGAATTTTCAGGATGTAACCAATTTTTAAGTCTGAGTATCATTTGGAAAATTGATGTGCACACTTTTTTCATCACCGATCATTGGTGAAAATGTTAACTATCCCCAGTTGCAACTTCTCTCCCTCAATACTATCTCTCTGACTTCAGGTTGAATATAAATCAAGGGGGTTGACCTTTCAAGTAGTTATGAACAGAGAAAACGTGGCAAAGATATTTTTTTTCAGCTGAATAAGCTTGACCAAATGAGACCAAGTCCTTTCTAAGAGGTTGTTAGCAATGGTCCATCTATGTAGCTTTGAGGGTATAGCCCATGCCACAAAAGACCAGACACATGGTTAGACAAAGCTCATCCTTGATTGTGCCCTATTGATGATCATTTGCTAATTTAACTTCTAATTTTTCCCCTGGAAAATTTGGTTTGGGCTCTTTTCCAGCGTGAAAATTCAGTGGTCAGATCCACGAAGGAGGCTCCTTTCCACCTTTGCTCTGTCCTCTCATACTCATGCCAACCGGAACAGGATACTCTCTCTTAACAGGTCTCCATCCCTGGCCAGAATCGCCTTCAGTACATCCTCCCATAGCTGCTCCCAGAGTTATATTCCACAAACAAAAATCTGACCTTGACTGCCTTATGTGTCAGACCTCTCTCTCTCTCTCTCTCTCTCTCTCTCTCTCTCTCTCTCTCTGCTCCTCCAGGGTAAAGTTCTGATTCTTGACCGTGAGGTACAGCCTTCTCCTCTCCTCTTCCTATTCCTAACCTTCCATGTGTAGTCCTAGTGACACAACTTGCTTATGTATGAAGACACCATATCGCTTCTCTAGCCCTCAGCCTGGGGGCCAAAGTAGTAGAATGGGAAACCAAAGGCAGACTCTTAAAGTCTGGTGGCCAGAACGGGCTCTCCATGCCCAGTGAGCCTAGGTTTGGGCTGCTGAGTGAGAGAAGAGCACTGCAGTTTTGTCCATGGCACTTTCTCCAGGAGCTGCTCTTCTCCTGCTTCATCTATCAGGATTTTAAAACTCTGATCCTGCTTTCATCCTTTGAGATGGGGAGTGGGTCACTGAAACAGTCCCCAGAGCCGCCATCTTATACTCCTGCCTTTGTTTCTACTTGAAGAGCCCTTGATGGTAGGAGTTAATGAAGTCATGGTGGAAAAACTCTGTGTGGGGAGGGGTTACTTATCTTTTAATTAGCTAGATCAAACAAATTCTATAGCCTCTGTTAGAGTCTGTCAATTGTTTCTCATTATCCACCTCAAATAGACTTACATTTTCATATCTATTTTTTCTCTCTTCCAAATGAACAATCTATCTGTCATACTTTCAAAGCAAATACTAGAAATTGGATTGTGACCTTATATATGTAGGGAGGAGAGGAGATGTGAGAAGGTAAATTTTTTCTCCAGAATTTTTGGGGCTAGAGAGATAATACAATGGGTCAGGTGCTTGCCTTGCATGCAGCTGGCCCAGGTTCTATCCCTGACATCCCATAGGGTCCTCTGAGCCCCGCCAGGAGTGATCCCTGAGCACAAGGCCACAATTAAGCCCTGAGCAATGTCAGGTGTGGCCCCAAACCAACAGCAATGAATTTTTTTTCTCTAGAGTGTTTTCTTTTTTTGATGCCCTAAAGAGTTCAGGGACTCAAGTTTTTTCATTTGTGTATTTCCTGACCACTATCCTATATATTACTGATAAGTGGATTGGGAGAAAAAATGAGAAACAAGGTTGAATATAACATAGTTCCTTCCCTGTCAAGTTTACGGGAACTAAAATAAGGAACAAGAAATTAGAACCCGGATTATGTACTATGAGATTACAAAAGAAACAGAGCCAACCCACATCAGGGAAGACGATGCTGACAGGGAAGAATCCTGATCACAGGGGAGAATTTTTTCACAAGTCCGAAAAGGGCAGAACTAACATAAATAAAGTGATGTATCATTTTGCTTCATGAGTACTTAGTGCCACTTCTGTTTAATGAATAAGAAATAGATGTACCTAGTGCTAAATTACTGACAGCTCAGCGGAAGAGGCTGGAAAAGTGTAGAAAAACCTTTGGGCTTTTCTTTGACTACTTCTATTTGCATATATACGTATATCACAGTGTTTGAATTTTTAATTTCCATGGGCTTTACAGATCTCTGAAAACCCTTCCATCCCTTTCAGCAGTCTTACTTTCAGGTCTTTCACTCTTCAGCTGGCATCTCGGGTTAGATATGGACTGTATGTTTTGAGAAGGTCCTAAACACTCAAGTAAAACCAATGGCTCACATGATATTTCACGCCTGTCTATACTGGCCCATCAAGTATTATTTACTTGAAAGCTTACACAGTCAATAATTCATTGTTTTTTGATTGGAGGGTGGTATTTTGGGTAACCCAACAGTTAACTTCTGCTTTGTATTAACCTTCAAATTGGTTTTTTTTTTAATTGTCATTCCTGGTTCAGTCTTTAATTTGGGGATTTGGTTCTGAGATCCCTGGGGAATCGGCCACTCTATTATATCTTACACGGTAAATAAATTGGAGGAGTGCTGCATTGATTTTTCTTCTAGGGGAGCCCAATGCACATTAGCTCGTTGAAAGCTCTGGTAAATCCTGCAGTGAAGATGTATCTAAGGGTCCATTATCATTCTAGGGTTTTTTGCTGACATTGGATTGGAAAGAGTTGTATAAGGAGCCTCGGGAATGACATTTTTAAAGAAGCAAATCATCCCCAAATTAATTCTTCTCCCCCCTCCACCCTTTTCCCCCGCAGCCTCTTGATTTTGAAACAACACCCGTTCACGACATCGTGTTCAAAGCAGAAAATCCAGAGCCTCTGGTGTCCGGTGTAGACTACAACGACAGCTCTTTTGCCACGTTCCAGCTTTTTGTGACCAACGTGAACGAAGCACCTCAGTTTTCCCAACATGTGTTTCAAGCAAGCGTCAGTGAGGATGTGCCGATTGGCACTCAAGTGGGCAACGTGACTGCACAGGATCCAGAGGGTCTGAACATAAGGTAGAGCACAGCAGTGTGGGTGGGCCGGCTACACCCTCATGGCCAAGGTCAGGGGGAGGAGAAGGCATGGGAAGGAGTAAAAACTGACCAAACTCTGTTTTTTCCCCCAAACAAGTAATCCATTTCCTGAAGCTGTGTTCAGTACTCACGTTAAACTTGACTTTGGTTGAACAGGGTGAAGGGAGCAGCGTTACTCAATGAAAATCTTGGTTCAGGCAAGTAGGAAGTGTATTAGTATCCCATGGAGCCCCTCACTCCAGGGGCAGCTAAGAGCTGTGAGTTGCGGAGCTGGTGTTCAGATTCCACTATTCCAAGTGTTGTCCTGAGTTTCCTGGACCAGGATTGGAGGGAGAATTCCAGCCCCAAAGAGAGCAGTTATAAGCAGAGAGAACCCAACTTGGACACACTGGTCTCCACAAGCCTCCAGGAAACCTAGGTGGAGGGTTCTCGGTTTCCTCAGCTCCTTGAAAGCTGGTCTGTGACAATAAACTCATTCAGGAATTTTGTTCTGGACAGGCTGGTACTCAGGTTGAGATCGTTAAGTAAAACGTGTAAATCTTTCCATTTTAGCAATTCTTGATTTTTTTTTAGTTTAATAGAAGCTGCATAAATTTGCCTTAAAAATTTGTAGTGAGAGGTGCTGGAGCAATAGCACAGCGGATAGGGTGTTTGCATTGCATGCAGCCAACCTGGGTTTGATTCCCAGCATCCCATATGGTCCCCCGAGCACCACCAGGAGTAATTCTTGAGTGCGAAGCCAGGAGTAACCCCTGTGCACTGCCAGATGTGATCCAAAAAGCAATATATACATATATATGTGTGTATATATGCGTACATATATATATATATTAGTGATAGATTTGCCCGAGATTTATATGCATGTGTCATCTCTGTAGTGATATCTCTAACCTCCTTGAGATCATAGAGTTAATACACATATGGGTAGAACTGAACCCAAATCTTTACCTTCTATGGCATAACACCAACCTTGCTATTTACAAAGGGACAAATATTTCATCATGACTTAAGCCAAAGGTTATGAATGAACTGTCATTTTGGTCTCAGAATCAGTTCTTAGAAAATCTTTTGGCTACTCCCTAATTCCTGCAGAGAAGACAGTATAATTAATTAGTCAGTCTCCAATTACAATGAGCCAAAATCTTTAGTTCTACACTGACTTATTCGCCTTCTCCCCCTTCACTTCCTTCTTTTTATTTTTTCTTTCTTTTTTCCTTTCTTCTTAAACACGAGCTCAGCTGGAAAGTCTGATTCCCCTTCACCACAGGCTGCTCCTTGATCTTTTGGTATTAGTTCCGGCAATCCTTCCTACTGGGATTCTCTCAGCCCCCTTTTCATTGCAGTGGCTGCATTTTAGTGTAGTTATCTGTTTACATGTCTATCTCCTTTCTAGCCTAAGTTGTTCTTTTCTCTTGATACTCAAAAGCTCTCTTGTTGAATGAGGAAATTCACTCTGCTCCTTGAAAGATCTCTGACTAATCATAAACACATACTATCTGGGTGTTGATGGTCTTCTTAGAAGGTGTGGTTTCCTGTTTCCTGGTTTTAACAGGTACTTCCAACTTACTGTAACTGGAATTCTTTGATTACCTAAAAAGTTTTATTTTTCCTCTCAGAACTTGTATCATGCCTTTTGTAATAAAACAAGTTTCCTGAGAGATAGTATGGACTTGAAGGCATTTGACTAGCACATGGTTGACCCGGGTTTGATCCTCAGCATCCATGAGGTCCCATGATCTCTTCCAGCACCTGAGCAAAGAGCCAGAAGTAATTCCTGAGCACCATCAGCTGTGGCCAAAAATTAACAAAAAAAAATAAATAAAATAAAAGTACAACAAAGACTTTGTTAGAATAAATATATCTTTCTTTTGAAAAAACGGGGTATAAAAGCAGCATTGATAATAGTTACAGCTATTCTCCAAATATGCCAGAAGTAATATCCAAGTGATAGTTTATGTACCATGAATTTCAGTACCATCTTCATATTTTCATGCGCACTAATAGAACTTTCTTTTTTCTCTTTCACTTTATGAAGTTATTCACTGAGAAATAACAAGGATGGATGGCTTAGGATTGACCCCTTCACTGGTGATATCTTTACTGCAGCTAAGCTGGACAGGGAAGATCAGGATCCATATCGAGTGCAAGTGGTGGCCACGGAAACAGGTAAGCTAAGACAGTGACGAATTACCAGGGGAACGTTTGGAGGGAGGATTAATGGTGGAAGGTGAGGTGGGTGATATCAGAGTATCGCCAGCTTACAGTGGAAGGATGAGAAGGGTCACAGTGCAATGAAGTGGTCCTGACTTGTTTCAAGATGAGTCATAGTGCTCATGAGTAGTTCCTTGGGACAAGATTGCTCTGCAGTCTGGTTTGGCTTCTGGGATGCTGCGCATTCTCTGGTTTCTGGAAGTTTCTCAAGCCTCTAGGATGGTTCCTTCATCCTTCCTTCCTCCAAAATGTTTGTGGGTTTTCCCTGCAAGCAGGGTCAAACCGTTGCCTCTTTTTTTTTTCTTTTTTTAAAAAAATTTGTTTTAATGTAGACAAAAGCCACAACTGTTGATACAATTCTAGGGTGGAAATTGATTAGAAAACAGTGCTCCAAAATTAAGCTAAAAAATTCAAAATCATTAAGTGTTCAAAATTCATTTTTTTAAATGTGAAAATTGTTATATCTCATCACGAAGTTGTTAAGTCCTTGTCTAAGAAATTATTGTCTGTTCCTAGTTAAGCCTTCTCTATTGTTTCTGTTTGCTTCTATGTCACTTTCCCTTTTAATCTGGAGTGCTCCTATGGGAGTTTCAGTATTGAGGAATTGGGAGGTATCGCATGGTCCAGAGACTTCAGGACCTATGGTCTTTGCCAGTGAGTTGATATGGTGATGGCTGTAACCAACAGGCATGACTACCATTGCCTGTTAACACGCTCCTTTAGCCTCACATCACAGGACCTCAGGCTCAGTATGTTTGAAACAGGCTGTTTAGACTCTTCTCACCTTCACTATCTGAATCTCTGAGGGGCATCTATCAGTACAAATACTAGGAGATCAGTCCTGGAGATTATTGTTCAGTAATTTTTAATGAATCTGGGTTCAGTCTCTCTACAGATAAAGGCAAGGAAGGAAAGGCTATTACAGTGATAGCATGGGGATGATTGAACCATCTTTATATAGTCTTTGTGCCCTATTTAATTCAGTTGTGTTACTATATATTGCTCGTTGGACCTGAGCAGTGGAGATTCAGGAAATTTAAAAAAAAAAATCAAAATCCTCACAGGAGCTCTATGCTTACCAGTGATAAGGCTGGTAATTAAAATGTTAGGTTTCTTTGCATTTTAATGGAATTTTTCAACCTAGAGGAGAAATTCTACTGCTCCTATCTAACCCAGAGGCTCTAATTAGAAGCCAAAAAAAAAATCGATCTGGTTTAGCAAAAAAAAAAAAAGAGATTTGAATAAAGTATTACTGAATACAGTTTTAAACCAAAAAAAGTGAGAAATGAGAAATCCAGATTGGAAGTTGAAATGAGAATGAAATGGAGAAATTTCCAGTGCGGGGGGGGGGGGGGGGGGGCGGGAGGGGGGGCGGGAGGGAAGGGAGAATTATAAAATGGTTCCTGCATATGAAATCATTCAGAAAGTGAAAAACACCATAGTTATGCTAAGCTTATGGCCGAAGCTAAGGCAGTTGTACCATTTGAAAGGCTTGTGTGTGAGAATGATCAGGTGAGGTGGCAGGCCAGGAACCCTGTCCTTTGTCCTTTGGCAGTTTCTAATGAGCACATTCCACTGTCACATCGCCTACGCCTTTAACCTTTACGTTGAAAGCTCCCATTGGGTCATCAGGGAGTTTTAAGCTGTGTCTTTGTCCTGAGCACTGACTGACGAAGCCTGCGTGTCAGGTATGTCCTAAAGAACTCCCATTTCAGAGACCCGAAGGATAAAACCGGTCTTCCAATTCTGTTTCATTTGCACCAAAATGATGCAGAGAGAGGAACTGACTTCAGGGCCTTTTCCTCGCTGGGTTAACTAGAAACTGCAGAGCAGAAACAGTTAAGAATGAAAGGAAAACCCAAACAAAACCGACTTTACAGGACTCAAGGCAGGTTAGGCTTAGAAACGGCACACACAAGAACCTGTGACTGATGTCAGATGTCAGAGTGATGGCATTCTCAAGTCCTGCCTCACACCATCAGTGCAGTAACTGACTCCTTGTACCACACTGTGGGTGAGTACTCTTGTTAACGCTTTCTCTGTGCGTGAGGAAAGGCACTGAGAAATGAGGTAACCTGCCCATTTCAACAGCTACTCGCGAGGCTACGGTATTTCAAATTCTCACACGATGGCCACAGTAAGAAATGTTAGTGCGAACTCTGTTAGCTAAAAAAATGACAGGTGGCATCCCACAACACTAAAAGGTTGATAGCTGAGGACACAGCGCTGAGGTAAGTAGTGGACGTGCCTGTGTGAGGATTGAGGACCAGCTGGGTGTGTCGGCTCCAAAGTGAGGCCTTCTGAGGTAAAACCAGTCCTACCACTGTGTGACCTTTGGTAAGTCACTCAACAACACTGCGCTTTATCCTTCTCATCGATAAATGGACATCAGAGTCGTGTAAAAATAATGTAGACAAAATCTTAGCACATATACATTAGTTATTATCACTGAAACTTTAAACCAGGTTTGATTCCAATTGCTTATTTTTTTGTTACCTCCATCTACCCCAAAATTTGAATTGGAAGTGTTGTTTTTTTTTTTTTTAAGAAAAGAAACTAACAAACAGCTGCGTAGTACTCCATTGTGTAGATGTACCAAAGCTTCTTTAACCAGTCATCTGTTCTCGGGCACTCAGGTTTTTTCCAGATTCTGGCTATTGTCAAGAGTGCTGCAATGAACAAACAAGTGCAGATGTCACTTCGACTATACTTTTTTGCCTCTCTGGGATATAGTCCCAGGAGTAGTATTGCTGGGTCAATAAAAATTTAAGGAAAAAAATTTTAAAAAAATGAAAAGAAACTATTCTATCCCTAAGAAGGAAATGAGAGTGCTGATATTTGACTAGAATCATTCAATTCCTTAGGTGGCTCTACCTTGAGCACTGCAGTGGAGTTCCACCTGAACATTCAGGATGTGAATGACAATGGCCCCCGGCTGGTCAAGGATTACAACGGCTTGTTCTTGTGCCACCCCCTGACGGCCCCCGGAAGTGTCGTCTTTCAGGCCACCGATGATGATGTGCAGCCTTATCGGGGTTCCCAGTTCACATTTTCCCTTGGCAGTGACTCGCTTAAGAACAGCTGGGAAGTTACCAAAATCAATGGTGAGTTGTGAAAAGTCCACAGGAAAAACAGACATGGATGATTAATTTTTTTGTTTTTAGTTTGCCTTGTTGGACTTGCGCATTCAACAGGGTGTTTTCTTCCATGCTGCAGGAGGGAAATTTATGCTTGGGAAAGTTGCACAGGGAAGTCATCAAGGGTGAGGAAAACACCAGGGTTTGAAGGGAGATTCTTTTTTTTTGCTTTTTGGGTCATACCCAGCGATGCACAGAGGCTACTCCTGGCTCTGCTCTCAGGAATCACCCCTCTTGGTGCTCAGGGGACCGTATGGGATGCTGGGAATCGAACACGGGTTGGCGGGCATAAGGCAAACGCCCTGTCCGCTGTGCTATTGCTCCAGCCCCTGAAGGGAGATTCTTAACGCAAGCAGCCTCTTGAGTGTAAATAGGTAGTTGATTATCTGAGCAGCATTTGCATAGAATCCAATAGTGACTGAGGAAGGACTGCTCATAATGATTCTCAAGACCCAGCTTCATTGAAAAAGAATTAACATTCAATAACCTGCACAGATTATAATAGCACATATACAATAGTATATAGATCATTGAGGCCATTATAATATCTCATGAGAATAGACCATTTGTATGGACCACTGAGATTATAAGCACAATCAGGATACTGAATAGTTCCATCACCACCAAATGTTTTCCAGGCTCAGGGCTGGAGAGGTTAAAAGGTTGGAGTGCAAGTTTTCATATATGAGACTCTGATTCAACTCCCAGCACCTCATAGTCCCTGAGTACCAGCAGGAATGAACACTGAGCCAGGACTAGTATGGCCAACTCTCTCCCTTCCCCAACACATATAAATTCTCCTTGCTCTATTGCAAGCCTCTTTTCTACCTTGCCCTGCTCACCCCTTATTCCTAGGTAACTATTGATCTTCTGTCACTAGAAACGAGTTTGTATTTTCAAGATTTTTTTCTAAAACATATATAGTCCTTTTTTTGTTAGTCTAACTTCATTTAGCATTCTTATTTTAGAATTTAGCCATGTTGCAGTATAGATAAAGACTTCACTGCTTCTTAATTCTAAATAGTTTTCCATTGTTATATATTTGTTATCCATTCAGTCCTAATCAGTTATATGACTTCCATTTTTGTTCTTACAAATAAAACTGCAATGAACATCTGTGAAAAATATTTTGGAGGAGTGTAAAATTTTGTATTTTCTAGTTAACTACTACTTTGAAGTGGAATGACCAAATTATATGGTAGCTATATGCTTATATATATAATAAAATGGCAAATTGCTTTCCAAATAATTTATAGCATTTTATATTCCAACCAGTATATTATAGTTCCTCAACACTTCATATTCTGTTTTTTTTTAAACTTTAGCTGTATTTTATTTGGTCTTTAAATGTTTAGTAATTTTCTACAGTTTTACAATTACTAATTCCTAACTTAATTCCATGGTAAGCAGTAAATATTTGCCTGGAAGAATGTAATTGCATTTAATTTTTTATTTCAGTGTTTTAAATGTACTGGGAAAATTTAGAGAACTTGTACAATTCTCCAAAACAAAGTAATTTACCCACTCTGTTTAGAAGAATTATTTATTTGAAAAATTATTTATTTGAAAAATTATTTATTTATTTGAAAATCAAGTGCCACTTGCCCCCACCAAATACTCCTAAAATTTTCTCTTTATTATTATTTTAAGCAATTTGATTACTTTGTGCATTGTTTTGAATTTTGTTTATCTTTTCTTCCTGATATTGTCTCATCTTCCTGGATAAAAGGTTTAGAGATTTAAACAGATTTGGGGAAAATCTAGCATTTATTTCAATTATCTTTAATTAGTGCTCCCAGAAACTTTGTAGGACAGTAGTTAAGAATAATGATAGTGGACTATATTTAGTATTTATTTCTACAGAGAAATCATGAATTGAGAATTTCAAATATGCCCTTGCTCTTTTTTCTCAAGTAATATAATAAATATTCCAAGTGAAATGGTGATACTTTGAGTAGTTTAACTCATACTTATATCTGATTATTTTTAGTCAACTTAAGCATATGATGCAAAGATAAGCTTTTTTCATGAAACTGTGTTTTCCTGTCACTCATTTCTCCCATTCCTACAGGGACATATGCCAGTGTTTCCACCAAGCACACGAACTTTGAAGAGGAAGTTTATAATATTTCAATCCGCATCATTGATAATGGCAAACCACCTATGGAAAGTACCGTCTATTTGCCAAGTAGGTATTTGGGGTACGGACAACTGGCATAATTTCTATCACCGTAGCTAGTAAGAAAATATTCTTGTCATTTTATGGGCTTCTGCAGTTGTTTACCTGAAAAATTATAGCTGAATACTAATACTCCGTTGCTTTTCAGTTACTTTCTGCAAGTGTGAGGCAGGAAGTTGTTACCGGCCAGCAGGTCAGCAGCCCGGAATGCCCACTGTAGGGATGGCAGTTGGCATACTCCTGGTCACCTTTCTGGTTATTGGTAAGTACAATTTCTCATATTTAAGGATTCCTGTCCTGGACCTCCCAAACATGAGTTAAATTTAACGTTTGTCTTCACGAGTTGAAGGTTGTTCAAATGACAGCACAGGAAAGAATCAAGAATATATATAAAAGGGGCTGGAGTGATAGCACAGGGGGTAGGGTGTTTGCCTTGCATGCGACCGACCCAGGTTCGATTCCCAGCATCCCATATGGTCCCCCAAGCACCGCCAGGAGTAACTTCTGAGTGCAGAGCCAGGAGGAACCCCTGAGCATTGCTGGGTATGACACCCACCCCCGCTAAAAAAAGCAAATAAAAGAATATATATAAAATTTCTCCACTTTGGAATACTTCACTAATACCACCCTCTAACTTATCACTGTCTGGTTGATCAGTTTGGGAAGTATAGGAAACTTTAAAATGTAGTTGTTATGCTTTGTGATTATTTGCTAAGATATCACAATGAAGGAAAAATAAGTGCAGTAGCCAGACCCTGTCTGTGAGACACTATTTTTGAAGTGAAGAAGGAGATATTGATAGGAGAGATAGACACAGATCTTTCTTGCAGAGCTTATATGGTCTGCTCTGCCAGTGTCAGAATCTGTAGAAGGTAGCCCTTCACTCCGTAATGTTGACACACCTTAATTATTGCAAATATTCTGAAAGCATTGCTCCATATGCTTTCACACCAGTACCCTGGTTCTCCAATCACAATTCCACTGTTGCACAGCTGAGACTCTCGCCATTCCCTGGCCTGGACAAACAGCAGTATCTATTCCAGTTTTCTTTTCTTTTTGTGCACAACTCAAAATATACTATAGTAATTGTCCATTTTCGGCTCTCAGCCTCACCAAAAGTTAAATATTCAAAACAAATACTTAATTCATGTCTATGAGAAAACAGGATTAATACCAGATTGCCTCTCCCTTTTTTGAAAAAATAAAAGGGGGGTCTGGAGCAATAGCACAGCGGGTAGGGCGTTTGCCTTGCACGCAGCCGACCCAGGTTTGATTCCAGCATCCTATATGGTCCCCTGAGCACCGCCACGGGTAATTCCCGAGTGCAGAGCCAGGAGTAACCCATGTGCAACATCAGATGTGACCCAAAAAGGAAAAAAAAGATCAGAATTCCAAGTATTCTAAATTGTTCTCTTGGTATCTTACCTTTTCTTCTATAACCCAGTTTATCAAATTGAACTCTGACTCACAGATCTAAAAGTTTTCATTCTTGTTTCCTCTCCCACCGAATTGCCAGTATGACTCCGAAGGGTCTTTCTAACGTAGTCACTCCCTTCCTACCTGTGATCATGTTTTCTCCCTGAGAACCACCATCCGGCGCATCTCTCTGACTCACTGAGCTGCTCTTTGAAGGTTGCATGTGCCAAGTTTTCTTTCCCCTCTATGCATCTTCTTATTCTATTCCTCTTTCATTTAGCATAAGTTTCAGGATTAGAGGTAGCTCCATGCGCTGAGCATGTGAAATCTCCAATCCCATATTCCCACTGAGCACCTCTGGAAATAACCCTCGAGTACCACTGGGTATTGTCCCCCAAACAAACAAAAACGATTAATATCTCTAACTATCAACCCACCCCCAATGTTTTACACATTAAATATACAATATACAATTCCAGTCCCAATCCAATGTTTTGAGATGTATAGAGATAGAATTAATAGAATTTTACAGTTTCATATCTTTTTTCCAAAAATAGTGTTGGAATTATTTATTCGGTTATAATTATTCGGTTGTTTCTACCTTGATTCCTTTTGAAAACTCACGGCAAATAAATTTCCTTAATATTTAAAAAAACTAATTCCTTATAAAATATTGGTTTGATAGTGCACATTTGACAAAAAATGCACAATTTAAATTTTCAGTTCAGAAATGGGAGAAGTCACAAAGGTCTATCCAAGTTTAAGTCATGGAGAAGGCATAAATGAAATGTGGTGTTTGATATACATGTATTAAAAGTAGAATTGAGATGTAAAATAGATAACAGCTTTCTAGTTATTGTTCTGATTGGACTATTTCTTCTAGGAAAAGGAAAGGACTGAGTCAATACTTACTGAAAATGTTCAAAGCTCAGAAACTATCAGATGTTTACACAGTCTTCAAAGTAGAAAGCGTTTTATCTTAGATTCCCTGACAAAAACTCGGTCAACAATATATATGATTTGATATGTAATAATTATTGACAAAATAATAGTCAATATTTTTTTACCATAAAAAAGCCTACATACCCATGAATACCTCCTGGAGTCTCACATTACCCATAACAATTAAACCTTACTGAGTAATAAACAAAAGAACTCACATGAGTTATTTTTTCCTACTAGACTAATATTTTATAAATGAATGTGACTCTATGTTTTGAAATTACAGCTAACTGGCCTTTAATTTCTTTTTTAGGTATAATTTTAGCAGTTGTGTTTATCCGAATAAAGAAGGATAAAAATCAAGAAAATGAAAATACAGATGCATCTGAAATCAAACCTCTGAGAAGATGAATTTTAAAAAAGAATGTTTTTAATACCAATACTATTTTAATATCGTACCCACTACTATTTCAGTAACAACCATTATATCCAATCATTTTGCTTTTCATGTGACATATACACTAGAGGGGTTTATTTTTTACAGATATTTACTCTTGCTCTTCAGTATTTTATTATTCTTAGGTATATCCTGTACAAAAAGATATAACATATTGTCCCCATGACATATTTCACCTCTGCAAGAGCCTTAGTTATTTATCCAAAACTAAAAATGTTGGTTTTCTTTATGGAGAGAAAGATGAACTAGTGAATTATTTGGTTCATGCTTTTCTTTATCCAGGAGATTTAGCAGCTGTCTGGCACATAATAGTTTAAATTCCATTTGTGTTTTTTCTATCACACCTTGTGTTCCCTACCTCCATGACTATTTTGGTTGTTTATCAATTATAACACATTTGTTGGAGAAAAAAACAAGATGAAGCCTTAGGGGGGGTACAAGAGTAAAAAGAAAATTTATCCATAGTTTAAACAGAAGTTTTTTGATTTTTTTTCTGTAGAGCTCCGTGTGGATTTTTTGAGATTTTTCCACACTGATCTCCCCATGGTCTGTGATACAAGTGTATTGTTCCTACTTCAAAAGCTTTGGTACAGAAACCAACCATCAGGTTTACTTGCTACCTATCATGCTTACATGCTACGCATGTTATCTTTGTGTATATTAATAAAGTTTTGGTTATTGTATATTTAATGTGTAAGGAAATTAAGAAAGCATGAAAGAAGTAGTGACAAAAATCAAGAATAAACTTTGGCTTTGGTTGTTTTCCAGATGGTTTTGTCTCTGCTTCCTCGGTTGCGTATTTATTAAGAGAAACACTAGTTAATAATGGCAACATACTGTTTATTAAAATTGCCTCCCATGCAGAATTAGGTCAAGAATAAGAAGAATCTAAAATGAAATAAAATTTGATGATAGTATGACCACAGACTTAGTTGTTCAGAGTAAATGCAGAGGGAATTAAAAACTTATTAGAAGATGGTTCAAAATGGAACCCATTTGAAGATCTCCTGAATTCATCAAGCAATTCTTTATGAACAATGACTGAACATTAACTAAAGAATCTTCACCACAACAAGTATAAAGTAATGTTACTTCAGACATTTTAGGGGGATAATCTGGTTGGGGAAGATGATGTCCTTCAGTACTGAGCAACATCCAGTGCAGTGCCTCCAGGGGTCACCCCCCAGGGGTGCTCAAGGGAGATGCATTGGCAGCTATCAAACGTGGGATCTCCTATAGTGTACTTCAACTCTTTCCTTGAGTCAGCTTCCAATTCAAAAGGAAATAATGCTTTATTCATTTGTAACTCAATAAAAGGGAGGCTTGTCATTAAAAAATGAGTTTTTTAACGTTAATAAGCAGTGATTGAAACTTCAAAAAGTAAATAAACTTAAATTAGAGAACTTTGGAGGTTTAGAAGCATTTCTAGGCCAATGCCTGTTATTTGGCTTCTGATTTGACACCCAAAGCATTTAACATTATACAACCTCTCCTCTTCTCATTTTAAAGACGTTTCTGTTTTAAAAAATTGGTATCTGTCAAAGTGCTTCTAATGATAGCTAAAGAAGCTCATGGACTTCTATTTTTGATAAACAATCCTCTATTTATTTAATTTTCATGCCAAATTCCTAAAATATCACCTTCCTTCCTTCCTTCCTTCCTTCCTTCCTTCCTTCCTTCCTTCCTTCCTTCCTTCCTTCTGGGTTTGCATACTCCTGGCTCAGTTCTCAGGGATCACTCCTGGCAAGGGTCAGGGGACTTTATAGCATGCTGGGTATTGACCCTAGGTCAGCCATGTGCAAGGCACATGTCCTACCTGTTGCACTATCTCTTCAGTCCCTCCCACTGTTTCTAATACCTCAATATTGCTATCTTAAAAATGTTCTCTTGGGCTAAACTTTGACTCCTCTCCACACCTGCCTCATGACAAGGCTCACTGAATGTCTCCTAGTGGATGAGGTTTTGTCCTATCTTGTGATATATTAAAGACAAAACAGAAAAAAAAAACACCCAAATCCAAAACCATCGAAAGCCAAAATTACTTCAGCAATTATATTCCAACCCAAGGAATAGTCTAACATCCTCAATGGCTTCTGTTGGTAATTTTCCTTGTGTGTTTTGATCAAGAGTAACAGGGATATGACAGTTAGGTCACTCAACATTGCATCATTACTTAATCTCACTATTTCCAAGAAATCATATTACAGGGCTTACTGAAAGACTAAATTAGTCCCAGTTTGGTCAAGGAGGAAGGCTCAGATTGTCTTTTTTTTCTTCAATTCAGTGTTGTCTTTTCTGAGCCAACTTATGTTAGCAATAAGAGGTTGATCATTTAACCTTTTCACCTAAAATCACCAATGAGAATTTATACTTTCTGTGCCATTTCTTCCTTGGTAGACCGTCTCTCTCAGCTTTCTCTTCTTCCATGACCAGATCCTACCCATTCTTAACAGTTTAGATACTTGTTCTTCTGGAAATACGCTGATTTCCGGTCGGAAATCAAACATTTCCAGGTTTCTGCTTCCTTCAAACCTTCCGCTCTGTGGTGAGGAGATTGTTTGGCTAGAATCCATTTCTTGTTTTCCCATGGAAAACAAACATCCCCCTTGCCCCCCACCCTGTCTATGCAGTTTGGGTGGAGCTAGCCTCTTCATGCTGCCTACCCAGGTCTACATAAGGTAACTATAGCAGTGAGATCCATCTCTAGAATCTTAGCTCAAAATTTAGGAAAAGAACATTTCTTGCATGACAATTTATAAGCTGATCAGAGGTAAGCTTAGAAAATTGTAATTATAAGAGGTAAGCCTGCCTGAGAACAAGAATCACTGAACACCAAAGATATATGATATATATGTATATATAAACATATATACATATATACATGACTGGAGTGATAGCACAGTGCTAGGGCTTTTGCTTTGCGTGTGGCCTGCCTGGCTGAGCCAGGTTCGATTCTTCCACCCCTCTCGGAGAGCCTGGCAAGCTACCAAGAGTATCTCGCCCGCACGGCAAAGCCTGGCAAGCTCCCCATGTCGTATTCAATATGCCAAACACAGTAACAACAAGTCTCACAATGGAGATGTTTACTGGGCCTGCTCAAGCAAATGGATAAACAATGGGAGGACAGTGCTACATATATACATATTTAATGTTGAGTGGCTTGTTCCAGCAATGTATAAAGGTAACCTAGCCCTGCACTTTTTAAACTTATAAGCCCAAATGTTCCTTGATAACTTAATTGGTTTCTTTCCCTTGAAATAAAAAAATTGGATATTTGCTTATGGCTCTTCTCATGATCTGCATTTAGAGTCCACTTGACACATAACTTCTCTGGAATTTCTCAGAATTCTTTCAAAATTAGTATGATATCACTTAATCACTTGATATCCCGTTACTCATCGATTTGCTTGAGTGGGCACCAGTAATGTCTCCATTCATCCCTGTCGCGTGCTAGTGTAGTCCAATGGCATCTGCTCGTTCTAGGAACACGAAGAGCCTCAAACCGTTCATTCAGGGTCTTGATGAAGAAGTCTGACCATCTCATGGGTGGTGACCACGCGATCTTTTGACATCCCGTGGAATCCAGTCGGTAACAGCTCTAGTCCAGAGGTCCTCTCTAAATCTCATTATGTGACCAGCCCATCTGATTTTGGGCGCCTTGGCAAACGAGACAGCGTCCCTGATTCTTGATCGTCGACAAATGTCGGAACTCCAGATTCTTTCTCTCATTTGAGTGAAATGTGATATTCCAAGCATAGCTCTTTCAATTCCTCTTTGGGAGACCCCAATAGCGTTCTCATCCTGTTTTCGTGGGGCCCAGCTCTCTGAGGCGTTTGTTAATGCAGGAAGAACAGTGGAATCAAAGACATGTGCCTGGAGCTGGAGGTTGATCGTCCTCTTAGCTATTTCTTCGACGCTCTTTTTTTTTTTTTTTTTAACATTTCTGTATGATTGTTTATTCATACTCTTTAAAATCCTGTTAGGGCTGGAGTGATAGTACAGCATGAAGGGCATTTGCTTTTCTCGTGGCCCACTGGGTTCAATGTCCAGCATCACATCTGTTCCCCCCAAACCTTTCCAAGAGTGGTTCCTAAGCACATAGCCAGGAGTGAGCACTGAGCACAGCTGGGTGTGGCCTCCAAACAAACAAAACATCCTGTTAAATTTCATGAACAGTACAAATAATATCACCAGTGAATCAAACATCTACGAAGCATACAAATGGGGAGGTGGGGACTGGGGACTGGGAGGGACTGGAAAAAAACAGCTCTTGAAGGCATTCCAAGCCACTCTCTTTCTCCTGCTCAACTCAGGTGCCAGGTCATTTGTTATGATGACTTCTCGACCTAGGTACACATAACTGTTGCATTCGGAAATGTTTGTTCCATTGAGAGCGAATGGAACATCAGGAACAAGACTGTTTCTCATGAACATTGTCTTTGTGAGATTCAGCTGTAATCCGACCTTTCCACACTTACGGTCAAAGTCGGTCAGCATTTGTGCTGCTTGGGTAATGTCTGGTGTTATTAGAATGATGTCATCAGCAAAGTGAAGTTGGTATAGTTGCCGACCATCTATCTTACCGACCATATATCAGTATGATATATGTTGGGCTATAGCAGTTCCAATTTTTGAAGAATGGGTGAATGAAATAGCTCATTCATTCTGGCCACTTATGCGGTTTTACTTTGCCATGTCAGCTGTTTGACACTGCGACTACACCTTCTTTGTGTTCATTGACAAAAACCTCTAGCATCCCTAAATTTCTACTTTGATACCTTTGTTTCACCTACCTATAAACCCTGGTGTTCCACATTCCAACATCCTCAGAAATGGTAGTAATGGTAACTGAACGTGGTGCATGATAAAATCCCTAAGAGTTTTTGATAATTTTAGAAATTGCCTAGAAACTTAGAGGAACTCAAGGACGAAGGTGGAAGTTCAGGTGCCAATA